TGAGGCTTTGGTCCTTCCCATCCAATGACAGCTTCTTCTTTTTTTGGGGCAAGGATCCCTTGACAGCATTTGACTCGTGCTTAATTAAAAAGTTCCCCGCCGGCGTCGCTGCGCTGGCTTCCACAGTCTCCCCCACTTGGAGAGCACCCATCCCTCTTTCTTTAGCTATGTTATTATATTATTTCTTTTAATTTTAATTAGGATTAAGGAGTGCTTTTAAGCCATTACGATCGAAGAAGTATACTTTGTGTCTAAAAAGTTGTTAAACTCTGGCTCCCCCAACCATAGCATGTCGCCCAAATGATTTATACTTTATAGCACGTGGTGCAATGCTAAATATATAGCAAGGGAAAAAGGGTTGCTTGAACTAAATGGTTTTTCTTTCTTTTGTGTTCACATTATCTTGAATCGAATTTGGATGAAATGAGCTTAACGCATTATCTTGGCCAATTTGACTAACTTAGAACGTCGATAAATTTTAGAGCATTAATATGTAACAATGTATTGACTTGACCATAATAATAATAAGAATGCGTGAAGTAAGTCATGATGTTGGCCGGGGCGGCCCTTGCCTGGTACAAATTCGAAATAAAAAGATAACCTATGTTGCGAGGAAAGCGACTGTTTTCCCATTGCGTAGATTTGACTAGTTCCATGTTGTTGTCTTCCTTCCAGCCATACATCCATGTCCATATATATATATATATATTGATATAGGGCTTTAACTTTTGTACATAATCAGACAGCTAGCTCAAGAACAATATTGATATATATATATTTTTGAAGGTAGCTCTCTCCTCCACAGTCCTCTCCATCACACACACAAAACAGAACCCATCTCTCTGTCTCTCTGTCTCTCTGTCTCTCTCTCTAGCTGTCATGGGTACTATCTCCAACCCAGCAACGAGCTATTCATTAATGGATATGTGGTTTGATTTGGACGAAGCACTGACTCTGCCTGAAGAACATATAGGAGGCGCCTGTGGCGGTGGGAATATAAATAGTAATGCAACGGGGACAGTTAACACTTTGGTAGCCAACATGCCAACGGTGGCTGCAGTTGAACTTGAAGCTGCAATTTGCTCAGTTTGTGCTCAAGGTTTTGATCATGATCAATGTTCAGATGATGAAGAAGAAGAAGAAAAAAAGAGTGGTATTGCCATTGGTGTTGGTAAGCAAGTCCCTTGTGGGCATGTTTACCACGAAACATGCATAGCAAAGTGGCTTTCCAATTCTAACTCTTGCCCTCTCTGCCGTTCCCCAATCCTCTCTAATTAAATTATTTCATCATTTCATCATTTCATCGTTCTCTACCATTTTTTCTTCTTGTAACAGTAATCTATATATTATATGATCAAGATTGCAGATGCTCTGTTCTCTACCCTTGCAGATGTTCTGTTCTTTATATAATTTATTATGTTCCATTTTCTATATATCCAATCAGAAAGAACAAACCGCATAGGATGAGGATGAAGATATAGTTTGCAGACCTGATAAAATCAATTGAACTTGGCAATAATATAAGTGTGTTTGGGTTGGGAATTACTAGGTCAACTTTGTCCCTCATCCAAAAAAAAAAAGTCACCTTTGTCTTTGAGCACACACAAATTTCTCTCAGCATATTTATTTATCATTTCCTATTTTTTAAGAGCCATGCTGCATGTGCTATGCTATACATTTTGTCATGCTTTCTTTCTTTTTCTGGGTGGAAGAAGTGGGTCTGGGAATGGGCTGATTTGGGGTCGGGTATGGTAATACCATCCCCATTTCTGCTTTCCATCTCCTATAAGTATTTTCGGAGAATCTCTGTCCCCATTCCCGTCAAGAGGCTTTCCCCCAAATCTCGAAATTTTTTTGCTTAAAAAAAATAGTACTTATCCTACATTATAACACTAATTTCACCTTAAACTATCAATCACATTTAATTAACCTACAAAATTTCCACTAAACTACTCACAATCATCTAAATTGAATTTGACAAAACTAGATAAAAATTATATTATATATTTATTGATTATATTATATGTATATTTCTTATCGGGCCGAATTCTCCATTTTCAGCCTATATACAATTGAGAATTTTTAAGATTTGGGGATTCCCGTACCTGCCCCCAATTTTCTCCCAAAATTTCCTCTCATTAGGACCGGAGACCCGACGAATATTTTTGTCATCCCTCTATCATGCCTTTCATATTTTTCACAAATATTTCACCTCAATTTTAGGCTGTCTATATTTTGTCATGCTTTCTTTCTGTTTTTTTGTGTGTGAGTGTGGAAGAAGCGGGTCTCATGCCTTCATATTTTTCATAGATATTTCACCTCCATTTTAGGCTGTCTCTGATGACCCTCTGCATTTAATATTACATAGACAAAGTCATCAGGTCCCCAACATGCATTATTTTGAGTGAGATTGGCTGTGGCCCCGCCTCTCTCCCATCCAAAATTAATAAGTAATGTATACTTGCAAAATTATGGTGACAACAACAGCATAATAATAATAATAATGTCACAAGTCAAATTGCATAGCTTATTGGTTAGTTGACCTAGTAGGATTTAGCAGCAAGCACCCCAATTATCTTGCCAATTCTTCTAATACCCAATTAATTTCTCTGTGAGTCATGCAATCAAGTAAGTGTAGCAACTTGCACCCTTTAATTAATTTTGTGTAGCAACTTACACCCTTTCATTAATTTTTTTCAGGCTTATTTGTCTTTCTATAAATATATATATCCAGAGATATAGCTTGCTATAAACCCAAAGCCAACCTCTCCTCCTGCAATATATTTTCCATGGCCGCTGAACCTATGACCGTATCATTAAATTATTCCATGAGCCTACAGTTTGACCTGGATGAAGCTTTAACTTGGGAAGACAATTCCAATTCCACCCTCTTGAATAATAATATCAACATTAATATTGCAGCACCAAATCCGAACTCAAACTCGTTCATGATCCTAGAAAATATGCCAACTCCTGCTGCTGCTGCTGCAGTTGATGATGTTTGTGCGGTTTGCATGGAAGGCTTGCAATCAGGTTCTGATGATGATGAGGTGATGAGGAGGATGATCAGAATCAGAATCACAAGGGTAAACTAGTGCCATGTGGCCATGTATACCATGCCACGTGTCTTCCCTCCTGGCTCTTCGTCTGCAACTCTTGCCCTCTCTGCCGCTCCACCATCCACCTCAACTGATCAATTTTGCACTAGTTTCTTGTTTGTATGTAATTTCTAGGTCTGGTTTGTAATGTTGAAATGAAAAAGGCTTTTGGTTTAGTTTGTTCAAGTCTAGAAAACTCTAACTTTTCTGTGTTTTTTTCTTCTCATGTTTTCAGAAATTTAGTTGAGTTTGTTGGGTGTTCTTAGCCTCTCTAGGAGCTGATTAGCTAACAGCTAGTTTGTCCTTAATGTCATTAGACTAGATTCGGGAAAATTATGGCCGTTGAAAGGGGTTATAGAAATGTTATTTTCGGGAGTGATTTTATCCAACTTTTCGACTGGCTCATGTTATGGGGAAGTTTTACCCATGTCTGCCATATTATTATTGGGTTTACACCATTTACAGTCTATGTACTTTGTACTCTTTATTTCTATTGATCTAATAAAATTTTATCATATTACAATAAATAAATAAAAATTATAACGAACCATTTAATTGTACTTCATAATCTTTACTTCATATTGATTGTAGTAATATGTAATCTTTGATATCTTTCCTTATATAACTTGTTCTTATTACAAGTAACATTTATTTATTTATTAAACAAAACAATGATAATTTCGGTTATCCACCCGAAATATGATTATCAAATTCCCGTTGTACACGTGATCATAAAACGAAACTATTCATTTTCTACATCACCAATTAAAGACCATCTCCAATTATTAATTTTTGGTAGAGATAATCTAAACATTATGATTTAGGAAATCAACGGTTATGGTTTCAATTGTAACATATTTACATAAGATAAACTCACTAATCACAATTCGGATGAGCTAAGAAGGTTTACTCCAGTGGAAAAGGGCTTTGACTTGTAGACCAGTGGTCTCAAGTTCGAACTCCTATGACACATTGATAGTATTTGTATGGAAACCCCCTTCTCTTTATAATTTAAACTATCTCTTATATAAAAATAATAATAATCACAATTCGGATGAACAAGAAGGAGCACCGAAGTTTATTCCATTAAGTAATATATATATATAGGCATGAACCGATCAGCAAGTCGGTAGTACTGTGGAATCAGGAGCTTGTTCAAGGTATAGATTATTATTATATACATATATACAAGGTCTAGAAAGTCAACTTCAATAAATTAGTTTTCCCACCACCATTATTATATAAATTGACAGATAAAATCAAAGGATTAGTTTTGTTTTTCTGGGTTTCGTAGATTTTTTGATTATCTTTGTGGAAGATAATTCAAATCAAGCATCGTGGATTTGATCATCTCTATTGTCTTTATGTCATTGTAGAACGTAAACTTGTTTGACAGAGTTCAAAAGATAAAGACAAAATGATTTGATCTGAGCACCACCCATCACCATCATCACCATCGCCATCACCATCACCATCATCATCCTTTAGTTAATGTCGACGAATATCATCTCATCAATAAGCAAATTTAACAAAATTGACTATAATTGATGTATTTTTCACTCTGCACCTAAGTTCGAATCCTTCTTCTTATAGTTTAGATTAGTTTAAACTTTAAATAGCTTATTGGTTGTAAAAATAAAAAATATTTAGACACATATAATTAGGGGTGTGCACAATCAGACTCAGTCCAGGCCTCACATACCTTCGGCCCAAAATGAATACCACTGGGTCACTGCTAAATCACAGAAGGGGAAAATGGGCCGACCGACCCAATTGCTTGCTGCTGGATCTTTCTTTTCTTTTTTTGGTTCGAAATTGCTTGCTGCTGGATCACTAGTGTGAAAACATAACAAAAAATGAAAAGAAACTTTTTATTTATTTATCGAGGATGATAATTGATCTAAAAATGGTGGTTTTGCATCCAGTCAAACCAGAAGGAGGACCATCCCGCCACGTACAAACAACTCCACTTTTAGCTGCAGACAAAGCAACCAAATAGAAATTACAAGAAAACAGAGAGAGGAGAGTATAGTGCACAGTCAAAGCCTCCATACTTAATTATTGGCGGGTCAGTTTCTCCGGAAATGGAAAATCAAATCGCAAACGGTGCTGTTAAAGCTGTAAGAGCCTCCGCTCTCAATTGTATCGATCTCTCAAGCTCCGATATACACCAATCTGTCTCCTTACTGAAACAGGTTCGTTCCACTTCAACTTTCCAACCTTTCTATATTGTTTTCATTAAAAATATCTGGCAAGTGAAGAAAACTACTGATGACTTATATAAATGAATCAAATTCTGGGTTTAGGCCAGTTTGGATTGCGGTTTTTTCTACGTGGTAAATCATGGGGTAAGCGAGAAGTTCATGGACGAGGTGTTTGCACAGAGCAGGGGGCTTTTCAGCTTACCCTTGAGTGAAAAAATGAAGCTTTTGAGGAACAAGAATTACAGGGGATATACCCCTTTTCTTGATGAGCATCTGGACCATGAAAACCAAGTACACGGTTTGTTTATATCACTCAGAAACGCACTTTCTGGTTGTTTTTTGCTTCATTGGAATTCTGGGTCTTTGTTCTTGTTTTGTAAAGATTGGTTCTTGTTCATTGAGTAGGAGATTACAAGGAGGGGTATTATATAGGAGTTGAGCTGCCTGAAGATGACCCAGAACCGGAAAAAAAGCCATTTTATGGGCCTAATGTTTGGCCTGCTCCAGGTAACCAACTACAACAAGTAGAATTGAATGGCGGATTTCTGGCACCAGTTGGTTGTCACTCATACCAGTTTGCTGATTGACTTAATTTTGTGCTCTTTTTGTGTCATGGGTCTTTGAGGATGTACAAGTGGAATTACGTTACTGATCTTCTTATACTTTTTGTTGTCCTTGTAGATATGTTGCCGGGGTGGAGAGACTCCATGGAGGAATATCATAGACAATGCTTGTAAGTTGCACTCTTGTAATAGGTAACTACATACATATGTTTAATAAGATGAGAGTACCCGTGCACAGGTGTCCACAAGCATGTGATCAATGTTCCTCCCCCATTAGAAATTACTACTTTTTTCTCTTTCGGCCTTCCAATCGGAGTCAGTTCTTTTATCATGTCTGCAGCCAACTTTGCAATGCTGTTCAGCAGAATTTCGTAGTGTCCAATTGCTATGAGAATATCCTTTATGTTAGTGAGAAGGTTGTTTAGGACACTAAGGCCAGCCCAACTGCCATCTCAACTCAAGGCTTTTCAAAACTTTTTACGATCCTTTTCCATCTTTCCTTTAGATTAGTCTTTCTAGAATGAATGATTGATATTCGCTGAATTGAATTATTTTCATGTACATCATTTCAGGGAGGTGGCTAAAGCAGTTGCTAGGCTTGTAGCCCTTGCTCTTGATCTAGACATCCATTTCTTTGATAAACCAGAAATGATTGGCGAGGCTATTGCGACATTGCGGTTACTACACTATGATGGTCAAAGTTCAATCAAATTTTTTCAAACCTTAATATGAATCCTACAATTAGTTTAACTAATGATATGGGGTTCATTTTTTATATAGGTCAAATTTCTGATCCATCAAATGGAATTTTTGGAGCTGGAGCCCATTCTGACTTTGGTTTTTTAACCTTCTTAGCAACAGATGATGTCGTAGGTCTCCAAGTAAGAAGGCTGCTGTGAATTTCAGCTATATTACCATTATTAAGAAGGCAGCTATAATTGTTGCATTACTAATTTGTTATTCCATCCATATTTCTTTGCAGATATGCAAGGATAAGGATGCTAAACCTCAAATATGGGAATATGTACCACCAATTAAAGGGTGAGACTTTCTACCCACTCATGGAGATTGATAGCATTTGAGTGGCTGAGTCTGGCTGAATCATATGTGCTACAGTTATATCCTTGTTTGCAGCATATATGGTCCGTTAAGTACTGTTTTAACACTTTGCATAATTTAGCTTCATCGCTGGTAACATGTTTTGAAGCTTTCACGATATAGAAGAGGAAAATAACATATGCCACTGTATTAACAAATATAATGCAAAAACACCTTTTTAATTCATAATAGTGACAATTTTTTTATTTTCTGTTTATTCTTTCAGAGCATTTATAGTGAATCTTGGCGACATGCTAGAACGCTGGAGCAACGGCATTTTCAAGTACTGCACATCTCTCTTAGTCGTAACCCTAGTCCAAACTCCAAACTCCAAACTGCATATATGCTCATAGAAGATGAATGCTAGCAATTTCTGGAGCTGCACAATTCATTTTGCTCTTTAAATATGTGCATTCTCCTTTTGGAATTTTTGTATTCAACTATTGTGTGACAGATGCTCCTGCTTTGGTTTTGTGCTCAGGTCCACGTTGCATAGAGTTGTAGGGAATGGTCAAGACAGATACTCTGTATGACCCCTTCTCTTTTCCTTTTCTGTTTCATGGTATACTAGGCGTTTTGATTATGCATAAGATTCTGTTTTGTCTCTCATCTGATTCAAATGGTATACCTTCGATTTCACTTATTATATATGTGTCTTACTTGTACATGGGCTCAAATCCTTGATTTTTTTGGGGGGTGGGGGGTTTTTACATGGCATCCATTATGTCCACTTTCATATATAGCTCATTCTTTTATCTTACCAGTTACAGCACATTCTTTTCTTTTTAATGGACTTAGCTCATTTTCTTCTTTTCTTGGGCAGATCGCATACTTTATAGAACCTAGTCACGATTGTCTTGTTGAGTGCTTGCCTACCTGCAAATCCGAAAAAAACCCTCCTAAGTAAGTTCTGACCACAAATATTATGCTAGCACAATTATATAGTTATTTTAGCAACTGAAAACATTTAAAAATATAACATGGCAATCTTTCATCTCTGATTAAAAACGGTTGATAATTTTAAGATAATTGTTATATGGTAATCTCTGAATTATGTTGATCTATATTCGAGGCTCATTGGCCTTATGGAGTAGCAAGGGACCTCAGATGAAAGAATGAACACTGATGGGTTCATTACACCATCTGACTTTATAGGAAATGCATCACCTATAAAGCATGTGGCCAGTAGAGTGGATAAGCACTTGAAATGATGTTCTTTCTGTTCATGCTTTTTCTGCATTTGCCTACTATGCCAGGTTTCCTCCAATCTTGTGTCGGACTTACCTGAGCCAGCGATATTACGATACTCACGCTGATCTGAATGTCTACGATGAACATACAAAATAAGTTTGCCACCGCTCCTGCAATTGAAGATGAATCCCCTTCTAAGATAGCATAAGATTCATATGGTTCTACCATTGTTGTGTTTGATAATGTGTTACAATGAAAAACATATCCCTGCCTCTAAATTAATGTACTGCATCCGCATAGTTGACTTCATGGTCAAGAAAGGGCTGTAGGAAGTCAATCAAGGATCAATAAATTTTATTTATTTATATAAACTACATTTACCATAACAATAATTGAATCAAATCCACTCCCTGTAGCCATGTTAGTGGCATAACAATGGTGGGGGAGGAATGTACTTTCTTTTTCCCTCTCCATTTCAATAATTGTCGAAAAAGATGACAAAAGTTAGCAAAACGACCCAACCGTCACATTTTCTTTTTATGTTTGTGCTACCTGTATTATCACATTTGCTTTGAGGCCTGGGGTAAGATCCAACGGTCAAAATCAATTCATAAAAAGAACGGTGGCTGGCTACCATCATCATGCATTTGAGACACGACTGTAGACTAAATGACGACTTTGAAACGCATGAACAAGATCACCAAATGCGAGGAGTTGGGCGTAGGAGTTGTTCTCCAATCGAATAGGTTTACATGATATATGTAGCTGTGAAAGAGGCACCATATAGTGTCATTTGCAAAATTTTGTTGAGGAATCTAAGCATTTGACCAACGGAAGCAATAAAATTGCAAGAAACAATACAAGCTGTAAATGGATTTCAATTACATGAACTGATCACATGGTGGGAGGTGGAGATGGGGAAAATACAATTAGCATATTTATTTGAATTTAGAAACAGAGGGCTTACAAGCATCTCCTTAACTCATTTTAAGCACCATCGTCACCAAGTGACATAACACAACAGTACTAAAAACACCATGCATCTTCAGAAAACACCCATTTAAAAATAAGTTTGATATTAAGCTTCTAAAATGTGGAGCAACACACTGTTCAACGGTAGTTTCGATACACAGGGCTGTACATGCAACTCTCAGCATACTTCACAAGATTCTCAGGACGAGGGAGACGTGTAGCCAGGCCTACAAAGCATACGATGAAAACGAATTACAAAAGGATGGAAGAAGTGACATTATTTTTGGGTCAGAACTCAGAATATACCAAAGAAAATAAATATATAAAAAAGGCTCACCAAGTTCATATGCCTTAGCAGCTACGTTAGCAGCTATATGGGCAGAAATCTTTCTGATGTTGGAAAATGGTGGATAAATCAGCCCTTTCTCAAAAAACTCCTCTGAAACTTCCCCCGCCAACGATTCCGCTGTTTTTAGGAGACGAACCAAAAAGTTGAAGAAAGAGTAAATGCAGAAGTCAATGTCTTGCCAACTAAACCTCTATATTACAGTTGATTACAAGATTTGTGTTTGGCCTATTTTGACAACATAATGCCATTCAAGTTCTAAATTCTATGCTTTTTCAAAATCAAACCATTCTGAATGTGCAGTCTACTTACAGGCTGCCAGAAGCATATCATCGTGCACACGGATTGCTCCAGAGATAACCAAACCGAGACCAAATCCAGGGAAAATGTAAGCATTGTTGGACTGCATTGAAAAGGAAAGCAAAAAATCTCAGTCATTGATACTAAACTCATGGTTTTAAACTTGGTCTTAATACTGTGAGATTATATTTGTATGACCTGGCCAGGAACATAAACTTTGCCATTGTATTCAACAGGATCAAATGGACTTCCGCTGGCAAAAATTGCGCGTCCCTAGTGAATGAAAGCAGGACAAGAAACATGGAAGAAAAGTTAGCTTCACTTGCATAACCAAGTAATGACAGATCAGACGGAAAAAAAATGTTATACCTTACTCCAAGTATAAGCTTCTTCAGCAGTACATTCAGACTGAGACGTCGGGTTGGAAAGAGCCAAAATGAGAGGTTTCTGCATCATTCATTTCTCAATGTCAATAAAACAGATGTTCAAAATGTTATCCAACATGAACAATAAGATAGGCAGGGGATGGATGTAAGAGAAAGGTGAGGAGTACCTCATTGAAGGAGGATACTGCCTCAATCACTTCCTTTGTAAACGTTCTTCCAACACCAGATGATCCAATAAGAACTGTTGGTTTAATTGCCTGATCAAGTATGAAGGGAGAATAAAAAACAAGTATAATCAAATAATTCTGCATCAAAACTCAAAAAATAAACTTGAATCGTTTGGTTCTTACCTTGACAGCATCAAGGAGATTATCAATGGGTTCATGTTCGTGAGCCCAAGGCTTCTTAAACTGTTGAAGAGAATCTTTGCGAGAGCTAACAATTAATCCCTGCAAAAATAATTCATGTGCTTAATGAAGTTTGAGAGAAAGTAAGAAAATTAGAAGTGAAAGTCAGAATCTTTATCGAGCATGCTACCCCACCTTTGAATCAACAAGCCAGATCTTCTTACGGGTCTCTTCCACAGGAGTTTTGGTCTACAAGAGACAAAAATAAAACAAAAAACTAAATAAATGAAGGAAGATCATTGATAAATCATGACTAGAAGTCCTTTACATCTCAGTTTGACAATTACATTAACCAGCGATAGATGATTGGAAAAAGTTAATACCTTTTTTGAGATCTCAAGAGCTATTAGCTCTGCAATACCCGTCCCAGCCTACAATCATGAGCAACAGCAGGATGAGAATTATATATTAGAGTTAGATTATTCTTAGTTCTCCTTAGTTAAGGACATGATAAGCCAGCAATATGATGTAGTGAAGACAGAAATCCATGAAAAAATTCTTACTTCCCCAGCACCAAGGAACAAAAACTTGTGCTCGGACAGGCTACCACCAACCAACCTCAGTGTTGCCACAACTCCTGCAAGAACTACAGAAGCTGTTCCCTGAAACAAGGAAACAATAGGTCAGGGGGAAACTAAACAAAGTGTACAAGCCGTAAAGGCTAAAGTGCAAGCTCAAAAGTGATCTACTGTGTACCTGTATGTCATCATTGAAGACAAGATGAGTCCTCCTATATTTTTCAAGCAGCTGGAAAGCATTGTGGTTTGCAAAATCTTCAAACTGCACATTTCAATTCAAAGGGACAAGACAATCTCAGAACTACATGAAAATTTTATACTCTGGAAATCCTACAAATATATAGGATGTTTTTTAAGAAGCAACCTGTATGATAACTTTTTCCCCATAATTCTGCTTGACAGCACTCATGAACTCATCTAAAAGATCAGCATACTCCTGCAGGTAGTGTCAACAATCTCTCATCATTAAGTTAAAATTTATAGTTCTTAATTACATAACTAAACTAAACTAGAGACAAACTAGGGTACGGTAGAAGCTACAAACCTTCCCAGTTGTCCTCTTTTGTCGAAGTCCAATGTAGAACTCATCCTCCAGCAACTGCTTATTATTTGTCCCAACATCAATGGTTATAGGCAAACACTGCAGAAGAAAGTCCAAAGAATTCTTAATTAAATGAAATTTACATACTGTGATATCAAACATGAATTTAAATTTCAATCCTTCCTTAATTTCCAATGCAACACCTTGATATTAAAATTTACAAATAAAGGCAAACCTCATGGTTTTGAAGAAAGTTAACAATGATTAGTAACAAGTAAATAGAAAATCCTTACCCCTGAGGGACGAACTCCTCCAAGTGCCGTGTACAGAGCCAACTTCCCTACCGGAATTCCCATCCCCTGAAACATGTCCAACAATGCCATGTGAGGGCAAGTTGCTTAACCACTTGAGGGTTATTTTAATTTTACCAAAAGATATTCATAATTTAAAGAAAGTGATTCAAACTTGTTACCTGACAACCTAGGTCGCCAAGTCCCAAAATACGCTCACCATCAGTCACAACAATAACTTGAACAGTCCTTTCAGGCCAGTTCTTCAATACCTCAAGAACTTTGCCCCTATAAAAGTTGGAAGGATTTTTCATGTCATCAGAACTTTATATTGAGAAAACTGAAAATTCACGTTGTAAAGAAATAGTCATACTTCTCTTTCAGGCTTATGTAAAGACCCTGAGGGCGCCTGAAGATGCTTCCGAATTTCTGGCAAGCCTCACCAACAGTTGGAGTGTAGACAATTGGGAGCAATTCCTCCACATTATCAATGAGAAGTTTGTAGAACAGCCTCTCATTCCTCTCCTGTTAACCAAAGGAAACTGAATGATTCTCTCTACATCCTTGTTTCAAAGACAAGTAACTTGGAAAAATAGTAAGACAAGTCCCCATTGTCATTTAACACATTGCAGGGATAAATAACACACTTGAAATAGTGTCCATGAATCTTAAGCTAAACCGATACCGGTAAACAGAAAAAACTACCTGGAGCTCTGTCAGAGCCATATATTTCTGCAGCGGGACTTGATATTGTCGGATAGAGTTCATCAACTTCTTCTCCTGATTAACAAATTTTGGGGGGAAAACATAAAAAATAAATAAGAAGTCAACATTTACCCCAAAAAGTCAACGACTGATGTTCTTGATGAATGAAACAACTGAGCTATGCCATTTTAGACTATCACCACAACACCCTAAAAGCTTAAATTAACCATGCCATGAACACTAAGCAAAGCAGAAGGACTAAATTAAATTAATGGAAACCTGAAGTTGTTGAGAGGAAGTTGCTGGAGGCAGAAGACCACGCAAGTAATGGGCGTCCCTCTCTTTCTCCGTAAATGCAAGCCCCTTATTGTACTGGGGATCTCTCAGCAAAGAATATCCACTGCATCAAGAGATTCAAATTCCACCAAAATTTTTTGTAATTTTACTAAAAAAAATTTAAAAGTATCAAAGTTTTTTCAGGTTTAAATAAGTCATCCAAAAAGTAGAACAGAGAAAGAAAAAAACAGAGATTTTGTTTGGTGAAAAAAGAGAAAAAATACAACTTGGGTTGCAAGCAAGAATTATAAAACAATCAGGTGAAAAGTAGTGACCTGGCGACGGAGTAAGTCCAAGGGGTGACAAGCTGGTCCTCCGTGGCAGTGTCCTCACCGTAGATGTCCTCAACGCCGCCACCAACAACGGCGCATTTGGGGTCAAAGTCAAGCACAGAAGCCTTATCCCCCAACTCCTTGAAGGTGCTCTCCATTCTTCTAAGTGACCCAATTAACAGCTGAGGATCAGCAACCCTCTTTCTCTTACAATTACAACACAGAAAACAGAGTGATCGCTGGAGCTCAAAGCCAGTAGTGAGAGAAGAAGCAGAAGATGCAGTGATCTGTTTTTGTGCTGCAACTCTGTTTTAATAACAAAGCAAACAAACAAGAACCCGTGTTACATGTACACCAAAGGCAAGACTTATGGCTTTTTTTCCATTAAAAAGTCTAATAGGAAATGGAAATTAAAGGTAGGGTCATTTTCAATTTAAGTAATCATCTTTTTCTCTTTGTTGAATTATTTAGAGAGAGAAAGAGAGAGAAGAAAAAAGTAGAGAAGGAGGATGAGTGAAACTTTCTTGTTTAATATGCATGTGGAGGTGGTGGAGATGAATGATATGATTGATTTGGGTGAGTGGGTTCTTTTGAAGGAGATCATTACGCAAATATCAAGAACAGTGGTTGGGTAGGAATAGGATGGAGGAGAGAGATAGAGACATGGTTTTTTGTCTATGTTCGGCGGTAGAGTTGGTGGAAGAGAGAGAAGATAGAAGGAGAAACAATAGTTGCAGACAGTGAGAGATTGGGTTTTTGATTTGCGTAATGCTAGGCTTACCACATTTTTCATACCACGTTCATACCATCTCTCTAATAGAGGTGGAGCTTACCAATACAATGGGGCCCATCTCTATTAGAGAGGTGGTACGAATGTGGGTGGAAGAGAGAGAAGATAGAAGGAGAAACAATAGTTGCAGACAGTGAGAGATTGGGTTTTTGATTTGGGTAATGCTAGGCTTACCACATTTTTCATACCACGTTCATACCACCTCTCTAATAGAGGTGGAGCTCACCAATACAATGGGGCCCATCTCTATTAGAGAGGTGGTATGAATGTGGTATGAAAAATGTGGTAACCCTAGCATTTTCCTTTTGATTTGGATAATGAAGATTATTGAACAGATGTGTCCAAGGGTGGGGCCCTCACATGCACAGCTGCCTCTCAATGCCAGTGCTATCTGTAATTATGCCTTGATTCTAAAATAAATATTTGTAACGGACAAAGTTTTGTTTATTTAACATTGCAATTTCGATTTGGCATGTTAGGCCAATAATTTAGACAACAGCTTGTACTTAAAAAAGATTGAAATTTTAGATCACATTAGTCTGGAAGTTAAAGTCATTTTTCATATATGACCAGTTTTTTCCTGTGCTCCCTGAAATCAGACGAGGAGGCTAAGGTTTGTGCAGGTTAAGACACGTATGGATTGAAGCATTGACATGTGGTGAATGGTAGTGATTGTTGTGCCTACACGTCCTGTGAACAAACACATCCTGAGGTCCCTGTCAGTCAAACATTAACCTCCAAGTAACGTGAACAAGCGTTAGCTTGTATTATACACGTGAAGCTTGAGAGCTCAGAGAGATGTGTCTGTGTGTCTAGTATTTATTTGTATTGGAAAATTGCCAATTGGTCCTTTTACTGAGTAATGCAATTAAAAATGTGACACTTATATGTTTGGAAAATGATTTTTATATATTTATATATGCATACAAACACACGTTAATGTTAGAATATAATACATACAACATTTCTTGACAATAATTACACTATGTCCTTCAAAACAGAGAATGAGACTTGAATAGTTCGGTCCCCTTGTTTATTCATGTAATACTTGCAGAGAGCTGAACCTGCAACTTTCCATGCAAAGCAGCATTTACTAACAGATCCTTGACTTATAGCATGGTCATACATCACATGATATATTGCGAGTGCGTCGTCGAATATTTCGTCCAACGGCCGTGTACTCTTCTCAAGGTCCTCAGCACCACCATACAGAATCTACAAATGGGGAAAAGCAGTGAGCAGAACAAACAGGCACATGAAAATGTTTTTGTTCATAACCCAGAAACTTCAGCCTGAAGTCTCACCTCTTTATACTTTCTGTAGACCTTATCGGCAGCGCTATTCTTGCTGTCTCGATCATCGTCTTGCAAGGCAGAGCTCATTTCTCTCCCGTAATGCTGGTGGTGTTCCCTCCATTTCTTCAAACACTTCTCAGGGACTTCAACATCGAAAATGGGAAGCTTCTTGACTTCTGAATAGAGGTATTGAGGAACAAAAGCAAGTCAAAAACTCTTGTTTTTATGGATAGGAGCTTTAATATAACCAGCTAATATTAAAACACTTTGATCACACCTTCGATAGAAGCCTCTTCTGCTTGATAGTCATTCACTGTGTCATAAATTGATCCCAGAATGGAAGTTGATTTGTATGAGTTCAGCTTTTCCATGTAATGAGGGAACTGTTTCACCTTCAATTCTTCTGGAACTTCGACCTGTAACGCAGAAGTTAAATCCAAATCACTTGAATTTTGAAAGGATGTACTTCGAAAATCAAGGATCATGCAGACTGTAAAAAACTAGGTACAAATTTATCATTCCAGTCCATCATCGAAAAACAGCAAGAGGATGATAATATTCTTCACTCCATGGAAAAGAATCAGAGGGTGCATCTAGAGCATCGTAGTATCCTATTGATACATCCAATTTCATAGCTGAAGGAACCAAAAACAGAACTAACCTTTCCACCTTTTTTAGGTGCATCTAGAGCTTCGTAGTATAAATCAACCAACCGCAGCATGTTTGCCTTCACACGAGCTTTCTCACTATTACTACTATCTCCTAGGATTAAAAACCGATCCATCATAGCCAACCAGCTATCAGATGCCTCAGCCATTGCAAAACTGTAACAGATGAAATTGTTTGTGCACCACAAACGTAAGACTCACAGTGGATGAAGTGTTAAATCTGTCGAACAAATGTAATAAAATAGCACACGAATACATTTCAAGAAGAATGGAAACCATTCAACTTGATGTATAAAAGATTGAGCAAACAGTAACTACAACACATGAGGAACCTAATTAACGCCAGAATTTGAAAGTAACATGCATATACCTGGGTTCAAACCTAGTTTTCAAGAATAGCTTAATGAGCGCATCCTCTATATGATCAGGCAAAAGCTCACTGGGTCTGGTACTCGCAACTTTTGGAGTTGATGATGAAGCTTCGATCCAAGGTTCACTCGGTTTGAAATGTTCCAAAAGCTGAAGTAATTCCAATAATAAGTGCTAAATACAAAAAGGAAACTAGATATAACACCAATTAATTATGAAATATGATCTCATAAGAACTTTGGCCTATTTTGGTATTCTAAAACCTCGCATGCTGAAAGTATTACGGGTCCAAGGTTTTCTTCATGAACCAGTTCAATAGGTGAAGAGACTACAAAACACAAACTCAGCTTTTGGAGAGACAGAGACCTAACTGATAAATTATGTCATTGACATCGTTCCAACATGATCTCACACCAGAATGGAAACAATTTAAGTGCAAACAAGCCACTTGAATTAATGCCATGCCAGAAACTTTTCAAATCCCAATTTTTTTTCTTTTCATGAAAAGGATGGTATATAATATGGATATATATTAAGGAAAAAAAACTGATAGTTAAGAGGTGTGATAAACAAAAGCATTTCCAATTCCATGTATAAATTGGTTAAGTATTTCTAGAGGGGATGTGCACGTTAAATTTTCAGAATAATGATACAGTAACCACAATAAAGGTAAATGCCAACCTGAAGGTTTCTTGAGACCCAATAGAGATCACCGTCAAAATCGCCACCACCCATTTCATCAGCTACAGAACGTGGACCTTTGCGAGAGAAGAATATAGCATATTTGGCATTTCCGACAACATATTCTAACTCCTTCACGTACCTCGCCTTCAAAACATGAATGTCGCCAAAGTGCAAACCTGGATGCCGATACACTAATACCTCTCCTGACATTTGTCCGCTCTCACTGCATATATCATTGCGCCGAAAAGAGGCCTCAGGCTATAAGTAAACTATATTTATTGACACTACACATAGATGAACTTTATCCAAACAAACAAAAAAAACCTATGCGTAGATGAAGAACTAACAAAGGATAATAAAGAAAGCAAAGATGTATAGTAACACCTTTAGTATAAAGACACACTAAGCAAATACAAATCATACAATACCATATTCTACCATATACTATAAACAGTTCTACACGGAACCATTAGTGTATAATTTTTTTTAACGTAGATAGTTCATAATTCCTTAGAACTTAATATACATTAGTACCACTATAATACGATCATATGGCATAGATCAAAGAATTTCTGTGTTAGTTGTATGTTGGATAAACTTTTTAACCAAACTGCAAATATTGCGATTACAGATACTTCCAATACAAGTTATAACTTTACACCTTTAATCTCAGTACCATGTCTCGCAGAGAGACAACCATATATACACAACTTTTAATTCAAGCAACTGTATTTATAGCTAATGGGGCATGTATCAGAGAAATGAGGACGTTATTGTGCTATGCAATAAAAAGACATATTTTTAATCTAGCTACAGGATAACAGATAGTAATCATATCATCAAATTCTTGAATGGATTTTATATAACAGGAGAGCAAAAAAAATCCAGAAATCATACATACAGGATAACAGCAACTTCATCTTTTTCCAGAATCCCTGTCGGATCGGTTGTCCCCATCAACATATAACTCTGAGCACTACAAATTTTTCCTCGTCTAAGACTGTTCTTTTCCGCTTTCTTTAGAATTGACAGACGATATTGCAAATATGATTCTTCGAGAGGAATACCAGAAAGGATCATTTTTACCGAACTAAAATCATCATCCATTTCACCATGGTTATAGGCAACTGAAAATACAGAAAATGATGGAAGGAAAGCCATCAATAAACTAGAAATAGTGAGAGAAATAAGTGGAACTGGAACATAAATGAAACAGGAAATTGCAAGAAATTGGCATGTGCATTATCTGTACAGATTATAGGCTAATTAGTATTTATCATAATTACAGGCTGAGTCATAGGAGTTGACTCTATTTGCTTCCTTCTTTGTAAGTAGGGGGAAGAATAAAGTATTCAGATTTCCAGCCTTCAATTAACAAGCTGCCAATTTAACCACAAATTATTCAAAAGGAAAGAAAAAGCTACGATTAGTTCTAACACTGTCAGCTTCACACCTTTGAATGCTGCACGCCTACTGCAGAAAACACCATGAATATCTTCCAGATCTTTCTTAAGTAACTCCATGAAGTACTCTTTCGGCACCCCTCCATAACATAGAAGTGCAATTAAATGCCTCGAAAAATATGTAGTCCTATGTGATTTGCTGGAAGATGAAAACTTTCAGTTAAAAATTACACCTTCAATAATAAAATAATAGAAACAGCCCAGCACCTGGCATACTGTATTTAAAAGGTATCTAGTGATTTGCTAATATATGTGAATAGTAACCATAGTTGACGCAGGACAACTCATTCCAAATCAACTGCAGGGGACATAAGCAATACAAATTATGCAAAGATAAGTTCTGAATAATGGATATACCTTACTTTAACTATCTCCAATGAATTCACTGTTTGATCATCTGAAATCTTTGGATCTGTCTCAACCTTAAGCATTGATGGTCGAATCTGGATTGTTTTTGGTGGCAGCTACAATGTTTGACATTTAATATTGAAAATGGTGTACAATATTACAAAATCAAGAAAATACTATTAGTCAGAACTAGTTGTACAAGAAAATGACAGAAACCATACCATTTTATTGACCAGAAAGGTTCCCTTCACAGCACGGCCTCTGTGAAAAAGTCGAAACTGCAAAAGCAGAGGCTACAGGAGAGGAGGGGAGACAGGAGGAAAACAAAAGCAAAGGGAAATCAGAATATATTGCAAGCAAGATAAGCCATGCACAGAGAAGAGTAGACGATATTTGCATTTTGGATTAGGAAATGCAGAAACTAAGAAGACAACATGGAGTTGTAAGCCACACATTCAGATAGACTCGACCCTTGAGATAGAGGGAAGGAAAAATAAAATGCAGTAAGTCCTAGGAAACAACATAGAGAAATTACAATTGCAGAAGGCGAAGAGTGATACAGGCAGAGCAAGACTCTTGCACATTATACATACAAAGTTTTTTAGCTGCGTAACAGACTACCTTATGAAAAGCTGAAATTATGTTATACATATGTAAGTTTTATCAGCACTTTAAGTTATTGGGTCACAGAAGAAATATCCATAGAAGTATTATTTCTTTCTTTTTTTCTTTTTTCCTTTTTGAAAAGGAAATCTATGATTCTTCTTTCTTTGTACCCATGTTCATACTTTTAAGGTGCCTGCGTCTGTACTCTATACTGAAATGTGGCAATATAGTAGAATAAAAACCTTCTAACTTCAAAGATTAACTGGTAACTTGATACTATATATTTTGCAAACATGTATTTCAAAATCTCTATCTTGGTAAGTCAAATGCCAATATTATCGCTATAATTTTAAGATGACCTAAAACATTAGAATCACAAACCTCGATGTATTCCTTACTAATATAATCTCCCTTAAGTAAATCCTTCGGACAGAGTAAAGCCAGATCCTCAGATATGAATCCAGTTCCATCTGTATGTATAAGAGGCTTTCCATCTCTATAGATACGATTGCCAGATTCATCCTGCAGTTTACAGAAAACAAAAGAAGACGAGTAAACTGCATTTTTAAACGGAGAAAATGAAACAAAGAAAAGGACACGCAAGATTCCATTAAAAAGATTGAGGATCATACTAGACAATACTCATCATCAATGTCCTGAACCTGTACAAGTGACCAATCTACTACTAAGCTCTCTGTCTTCGACAAAATGAGTGAAAACCTGAATTCCCGAGTAAGATGGTAGTTTAGAATTAATCTTTATGGAAAATTACTTCTATACAGCACCAGAAAAGAAATTTTTGAGTAAAAAAGAATTACATACCTAGCCATGTAGTTGGACACACTAGACACAGTATGTGCGTGCATAAAAATGCATCTTATTTCGTGAATTTTTTTGTTAGAGAACTTATAATCTCCACTCATGTCAATCGCGGCACTAGATCCCACACGAATAAAGTAACACTTCACAGGTGATGAAGTTGGGTTTTTCTTCTTTTCTTTATTGCCACCATCTTTGAACACTGATTCAAAACCATGTTAATGATCAACTCAGCTAGAGTTCTCAACAACTCAATAAAAAGAACACATGTTCAAGTATCCAAATACAGGTTAAAACTTCACCTGGGAGAACGGTTTAAATAACATAAAATCAGTTTCTGAATATCGAATCCCAAGTCTAAACCATGTAGTAATTCTAAATCCTATTTCTAGCATGTGAAGCTGACAAAAAAATCATATTAACTATCCAGCTTTAAGAATGCCAGAGCATTTAAGAGCAAGTGAGCCTCAGAAGACAGATTTTTCTAACATCGTCAGTGACAGAGTATAAAGAAATGTATCTGCATATGTGTTGATGCACAGAAGAAAAAATGAAGTGAAAAAGACCCCCAAACACCTTAGCCTTGTTCCAGTAGTTCGGATGGTTTCATGCATGCATGTGTCTCTGTGTGACCATTGTAACACGGAAAAGATAACCTATAATGATTTAACAAATTGTTCTTTTTTCACTCAAGCATGCATTGTATAAATATTCTATTTCATAGGAGATAATTATACTTATGAGCCAATCAAGACATGTAGAAGAGAGAAACAAGGCCAAAAGTGGTTAGTGAAGTAAAACATTTTTAAAAGTGGACATTCAAAATTCACCATATTAAGGCATGAAAGACATACCGAAGAACCGATATCGACGCAAACCTACAAGAATCCCTTCTCTTGCGACCTTGCTATAGTTAGCATAATTATTATCTTTAAAGCCAGTTGGAACTTTCTGAGTCCCCACATCCGAAAATTTCACCATTAAAACATTGTCATCTCCCAAAACTTTCTGCAGGAGAGTTCTTTTTGTGTTGTTTAGACAGGGTCCCTGAAGGAAATAACAATATATCACTTATACAACGTCTGCAAAATGACCGGTCAACATTGGCAACAGAAACATTATGATATTACCAAAAAACCAGTGGAAATTGCTTATATTGATAGTATACATATTAGGTTCCGCATGTTGCTGAGCTGTAAAATTCAAACAAGCAATAAAAGGAAAAATCCATTTTCCAGAAAGGAACTGCAGACAGCTGATTACAGTTTGTCTGTGAGGGTTTTAGCCTTGAAAAATAAAATGGAATAGAAGTACTGGAACTTCAACCTGTTATAAGAAGAAAGTTCCAGTTTGCCACTACAACACATGTTTTGCAAAAATGAATTACTATTACATGGCACTCATGAAATCAAACCTAAAAGGTACAAAGTTTCTAATTACTTTTCAATGGGGTAAGATTCAAACTTGAAACCTTCCGCAAGACCTGATCAGAAGACCTGATTCCTTCCATAGAGACCCACAGGCATGACTGATAAGGCGATATCAGGTTTTACTGATACAGTGATACCTAATTTCATGATTACCTACACTACAGATTCTGTCAGTAAATTAACTATTTCTCCTTGTGAGCAGGCAATTATGCATAGGCTAGCACATGATTGTGTGTGATTACACGTATACTGGTAGATGTACAAACCTTGAATTTGTAGCTCCCATCCACAGAGACTTCACAATGATAGACGTATGTTTTTCCGGAATCCCAATCAAAAGTCTGCAGCACATCGCCAACATGAAAGGGTCATTGAGCATATGTAGTTAGTAAAGGATACAAGGTTGGATAATGCCAGTGACACCATCAATGAGTTATTTTAATTTATTTTTTTTTAAAGGTAAGCTATCAGTGTTGGGGCAGATTACCCTTCCTTGAAATCTCAAGACCTTCCAAACTGTGTAACAAGTTAATAATTAATTTTGGAACCTTTAAGTTAACTACGTGAAGTCCAGTACTACTTCACAAAACTTAAAAATAAAAATAAAAACGAGCAAAATGGTTTTTACCAGAATAGTTGGAAAATTATTAAATTTCTTCTCAGTAAGAAGGGAATTTTAGATGAAGATAACTGGCCATGCAAACTCATTCCTACTCTTTAATCTGACAGGAAATGGCATCATATACTAATTTACTTATTCATCCATTTATGTGTACTTGAGGGGGATTGCCATGATTCATTCATGGAGGATTGCTAAGCTCAAATCATCAGTGTAAGGATACTCTTTTTTGCCTTTATACTCTAGAACAAAAAATGGAACCTGAAAACTAAAAACAAAAATTGAAATGGTTATCAAAAGGGCCCTAAGATTTTATCTTCAATAAACACTAGGTTCTCTCATACTAGGCTTAAACTTTCTCCTATGTTGTGTTCTCGCGTTTAGGTCCCATGTTTGGGTCGTAGAACTTGAGTTTAGGCCTATGTCTTGAGTTTAGGTCTCATGGAGTTTCAAAAAATATCATATTTTTTATTTTATTTTAATATAGTCGATAGTCTAAATTACAAGGGGGATGAGAGTTGTTCACATGCACTACTAAGGTATCATAGTAGTTCTAACTTGAGACCACTGGTCAAGACCCTTCTCCTAGGCCTGGCAATGGGTCGTGTCGTGTTGAGATTTTAAACAGATCAAAAATAGTCAACCTGAACACAACTCATTTAATAAACGGGTTAGAAATTCTCAACCCGAATACGACCCGTTTATAAATGGGTTGACACGACCCAACCCATATAACCCGTCACCTGTTCATTTTTTTTTATAACTAAATCAATAGTTTTAACAGTTTGATGAAACTTTCCCCAAATACAACCAAAGTAAATAATTAAATACAAATACATATTTATCAGTTCAAGTTCAACTCCAGCGGAATAAGGTGGCCTCAGCCCTCCATGGTCTCCAGGTTGCTCTGTAACTCACATAGAGACAGACATGGGTTTAAAACATGAATCAAAATGAAAACAGAAGAGCCCATGAAAATGAAAGAAAGTGAAGTAAAAAAATCTGACCTTTATGAACAGGAGGCGTAATGGGAGAAGCAGGGGCGGACTTTGAAGGAGAGGGAGAAGGAGAGGGACATTTATATTGTGGCTTATTACGGATCCTCCAAATGATTAAGCCACTGAGGGTTTTGATAGTTTTCGCTTTGGCGATTTCACGGAGGAGTTGGAGGGCCTTCTCCTCGCTCAGAAAACTCAGCATCAGTCTGACGTTTTGCTCTGGCTGGGGTTGCTTTCTGTCGTTACAAATTTGGTTCAGCACCCATTGTCTCCAGGTTGGTCTACTGAGGAAGTAGTGAAAGTCTTACCTGTACCAACACACACTAGATAGTTAATCACAACGAATGAAAAGCATTTCATTGGGAAAGTATAAAATATAAAAAAACCTTGAGGAAAAGGTTGAGGTAGAGGCAGAGGGTCCTCAAAAAGTCGTCGAACACGAGTAATAGTTGAAGGAGGAGCAGATGATGGGCCTTGATACGGATAAACATGGAGAACTTTTGAAGGTGAGGCAGAGGAATAGGAATAAGGTGGCCTCAGCCCTCCATGGTCTCCAGGTTGCTCTGTAACTCACATAGAGACAGACATGGGTTTAAAACATGAATCAAAATGAAAACAGAAGAGCCCATGAAAATGAAAGAAAGTGAAGTAAAAAAATCTGACCTTTATGAACAGGAGGCGTAATGGGAGAAGCAGGGGCGGACTTTGAAGGAGAGGGAGAAGGAGAGGGACATTTATATTGTGGCTTATTACGGATCCTCCAAATGATTAAGCCACTGAGGGTTTTGATAGTTTTCGCTTTGGCGATTTCACGGAGGAGTTGGAGGGCCTTCTCCTCGCTCAGAAAACTCAGCATCAGTCTGACGTTTTGCTCTGGCTGGGGTTGCTTTCTGTCGTTACAAATTTGGTTCAGCAAATCCTCCACCAACGGAGGCAGAGCAATGTGCGGTTGCTGTTGTGGTTGTGGCTGTAGACAAACGTCGGCCATGGCCGTCTGGGGCTCGATCATGCTGCTGTGAAAGTGGTTGATAGATGAAGAGAAATGATTGGCGGCATCCTCCATCTGTGGGTAACTACGTTTCACGTTCAAATTGCTTTGATGATGCATTTTTTTACAGTACCATGAGCCAGCCCACAATCATAAACTTTCGACTAAATGGGTTTTTTTTTTTTTGGTCTGAAAACTTTCTACTAAATGGCAAGTCTCAAGTTTCAAGCTTTTATGGGGATACGAGATTTTCCCTGACAGAAGGTTCCTATTTCGGGATAAAAATCGGACCACATTTTTGATGGAGTGGAGCTACTTACACGCTGTGCTTGGATTGACATGCCACTCAAGTCTAGTTAATAATAAGTCTCTTATTTGATAGAAGACGTAAGGATGATGGAAGACAGAAAACAGAAGACGTAAGGATGATAGAAGACAGAAGACACAATGATTCCTTGCCCTCAGTGAATACCACTAGTTAACATATAATAGTCAAGTAAAGTAGCAAATATCAGGCGTGGAAACATCCATTGACAGTTTTAAGTATTCTATTCCTAGTGCATCAGTGCAACTTTATACTTTTGCTTTGTATATATATCCTACGGGAATGTATCTTTGTAAAGGAATTAATTCAATAACAAATATTGAATATAATACTTTTCAAGTTCTTCATTATTACTGTCACTCACTCAAGGAAATGCCTCTCATCTCACCGACTCTGACTCACAGTCAGTGGACTTCACACAGTCTCTTGTTTTTCCTTACAATTTTGGCAAAGTTTCTTTTTTGGCTATAAAAGTATTTTGTTTTTTACTTGTTAGACGAAGCTCCATTTTTGGACTTCGTGGTTTCAATTATTTGAAGACAAGTGGAACTTTTTAGAGGCGTAAAACACCTAATTCATGTAACTGGTGTGCTAATTCTTTTAAAACAATATGACGAAAAATTAAGTTATAATCTTCAACTTACAACAATTTATAAATTATCGGGTTCAAACGGACGGTGACAATTAAAGCTGTAGTCAAGAATAAAGTGGAACTTTGGCCAAACTATAGAAACCAAAATCAAAATTTAGCGCCTTTTTTAATTTTTTGCCGCCAACAAGGCACAGTTGCTATTCAGTTGTGCGAAGCAAGCCATTCCTGACTTCCTTGAGAAGTTTGCAAACACTTCGTCACCCACCATCACCAAGTCTATGTCTATCTTCCGTTCAACTTTCTGTTTCCTATTAGCTTTTAGCGTTAACTTTTGTGTCCACTAATCCATTGATTGTTGAAATATTAGACACTATTGAGTCACGAACTCAAGATTCTCCTTTCCTGTGTTACTTTCACTTGTCCAATCACCCTTCAAAGAGAAAGATTCTCTCTCTTTAAAGATGGGAAATGGAGTCATGGCTTTTCTGACTAAGGAAAGATTTACAGTTACAAAATAGTGATGATTTTTAACGCATTGTTTCTTATTCACCGCATGTCTTCCTTCCCCCAAGGCCCAAGTGATGATCTTGGAAAAAATATAAAATTGTCACATGTGTTTACTTTTGGGAATTGAGAGAACATATTTTGGTAGATAGATACAAATTACAATCGATCTCTGCTTTTGAACCTCTGATAATATAAAAATGATGAATATACACATTCACAAGTCACCAAGTAATTCCTGAACAAATACAAACTGAGAATATAATGAAAGAATCAGCAGTTGCTCTTCCTTTTTTATAACGGGGGAAATGCCTCTCACGACTCTCACTCACAGTGGACTTCACTCTAGTTTTGCCTTATAATTTTGGCAAAATTTTCTTTTTCCTTCTGTGCTAGATTAAAATTTTGGTTTTTGTATGTTAGAAGAAGCTCAATTTTTGGTCTTTGTAGTTTCTTCAATTATTTGAACTTTTTTAGAGGCGTAAAACACCTAATACGTGCCACTCGCGAGCTAATTTTATTAAAACAATAACAAAAATTAGTTTTTTTTTTTATACAGATAAAAATTAGGTTATTATCTTTAGATTACAACAATTTATAAATTATCAGGTTCAAATGGCGACTATTAAAGTTGTAGAGAATAAAGTGGAACTTTGATCAAACTATGGCCACCAAAATCAAAATTTGGTTTCTGCACCAATCTTAGTACCGTTCATGACTTGAGAAGTTTGCAAATACTTCATCACCAAGTATATCTTCCTTTCAACTTTAATTTCCTATGAGCTTTTAGCTTTAGCTTTTATACTAATCCATTGATTGTTTCAGACCAAAAGTTACATCATATGTATGGGAAAGAAAGAAACCCGCCATCCGTAACCAAAAAAAAAAGAAGAAAAGAAACCCGCCACTTCCATGCAGCTGTGCAGCTCAAGATTCTCCTGTGGAATCATGGCTTTTCTGACTAGGAAAGTGTAAAAAAATTTGGTGTATGTTGCAGCTTTTCAAAATGTGGGATCCGCTTGGGCTCTAGGGGCTCTATTAGAGTTCATAGATTTAGAGACAGCTCCGATGAGGCTTTACGATATAGGGCGCCAAATCTCTTCCATTGGGGATGTCTTTTTGCACGTGAGCTCTATATTATAGAGCCCTGAGGAGGTTGAGCCCCATTTAAGGATCCATTGAGGATGGCCTAAGGATGGCCTAAGGGCATCCCCAATGGTTGGGGCTCTAAAAAGGGTTTATAGAGCTTCATTTAGAGCTCTGATGGAATCCTTGGGGCTCTAAAGGAATCTCTCCAAAAACTTAACTTGTTGAAGAATATAAAGTTCCACATTGAAAACTTGACTAAATAAATTACAACTTATAATAAGTTGTTCCACTACGAATAACACCTAGGCCTTTTGTGATAAAACTCCACACCTACTGGGCTTTGTAGGTGGTTAAGTTGGGGACACTATCAGTGTTGATAGTAGTGGGTCGGTGGCCCGTGTCTCTAAAATTTAACATGGTATCAGAGCGGGACCCCGACCTAGACCTAGACTCCAACCTAGATCAACCACACCGTGATTAACCAAAAATAGTAAAATAGTACTATTCCTGTATCATGTAAGTGTTTCTCCCTCAAATGAAAATATGATGGCTAATATAAGTGGGGACAAATGACTAACTTTAAAATCCTAAGCTACCAAGCAAGTGGGCCAAGTGCACTTTCTCAAGGCCACACAAATATGGCCTTTCTCATTCCCATAAAAATGGGCTTTCAAATTTAAGCCGAATTTCAACATTTGGAATGCCTTCAATCTCAACTCTATTTCCTTAATTTTCTCATCTTGGAGGATATCCAATTAGAAAAAATATTTGGTAACTAATATCGAATAAAATTGGAACGATACAAAAAAAATCCAATGAACCAAACACAAATAAGTTTCAAGTTACGGTCCTTGTCGATTAACTACAAGTCTACAACGTCCTTGAAATTTACAAAAATGAGAGGAGGGGCACGACTTCTCTCTCGTCCGTCAAAAGTGGTGATGTTTCCAATTAGGGAAAGGCCACGAAAAATGAAAGACAACCATATGCAAAATTCTACGGGAGGTATTAATCTTCAAGTTCATTTGGGGTGAAAAAAGTCATCTCCAAGACTCCAAGTGCTCTCAACTCACCTGATATAGGCTCATAATTTATAGTCAATTCATGGCCAGCAACTTTCGGTCATCGACATGAGATGATATCAATTATCAACATTTATTTTGACACAAAAAATAATCTCTCATTTGCCGCCATCACAATGTGAACCGTATAACTTGAGTTTAGACTTTCTATGAAAAAAAACAAGTGAAATGACAGATATCTGCTTTGGGTAGGTTTCCCCTGTGAGAGTCAACATTGATATGTTTGCCCTAAACAAGCTCCACACTCGGATTGGCCAAAGGTTGACCACATTGACAATGTGACATAATTCTGGAAATAATTTTTTTCTAGGGTTTTGGGGAGAGATTTTAATTTTGTCATCAATTCATTGAAGAGCAGGTTAAGGGGCCCAACCCATAAAACACAGCAAAAAATTCTCGAACAAGAGGACAAAGATTTGAACTCGGAAAATACCACTACACTAATAGCTAGCTGAGCGTGACTCTCGAGATTATCTTCTTAGTATAATTCATTCTCGTCAGCATATGTAGAATTCATGACTCCATGACAAAATTTTACCGTTACACTATCCGACAAACATTTTTTGTGTGGAAACTATAAGTCATTACTTTTTAGATATTCATTTGTAAAATATAGTTACTAATTCGATTCTTTGATTTAGAAAAGTTCCTCATGAATTTACATCACAATCAACGTGGAAACACTAAGTGGATAGACTGCTAGGACGACCCTTGGTTTTAAAGGAAGGCGTAGACTTGATTCTCACTCACATCACATACATATATATGGTGTGGAATGAAGCCTCTCTGACTGACCGACTATTTTGCAGATTGATCTCTTTCAGACCAGCTGTTAGCTGTACACAAAGAGGAAATTTTTTCATTAGATTTCAATTTTTTTTTCTTGTAAGCAAATGAATTTCATTAAATTCCATTCTTTGATTTTCCTGAATTATTATAATTGAAAAAAAAAACTAGATGTATAATCACCTGTCTCTTTATTAACAAAATAAAATAATGAACTTGTGTCTGTGAGAAAAGGAATTTAATTAAAGAGGAAAGGTTATCATATATATAGTTATAATTTAATTTGAAAGCTATTGTTTTTTTTTAATTTTTGGAATTTGAAAACTATTGTCATTGTCCAAGTCTAAGTCTAACATTGAAGCAGGCGACTCTACCCCATATGAAATACGCGACCCCTTCTTTTATGAACCCACCTTTTTGAATTTTCATGGGGCATTGGGTACAAATTCATTATAATTATGAGAATGTGAAGATAAAAAGTCTCACATTAGAAAGTTAGAAAACCCTAAAAAGACTTAGAAGGAGTTGAGCTACTCCACACAGGGGCGAATCCACAGAGGAGCAAGGGTGGTCAATTGACCCCTGCAACCTCTGAAATCCTCCATTAGAGCAGCCAAACTTGACCCTCGCAAAGTGTTCGACGAAATGCCCCAAAGGGGCAACCTGTGTGCAGCTGGGGGGGCTATAAGTGCTGGGCTTTTGAGGCTGAGAGATGGGAGGAGGGATGAGAAGAAAGAAGAAGAAGAGTGTCTCATTTGGTGATGGTGGTGGTAAGCAGCAGCTGCTGCTTCTGGCTGGAGGTCATGAGGGTAAACTGGTATAAAAAAAAAAGAAAAAGGAAACAGACATACATGAGTATCAACAAAAGAAGGAAAGAGAAGGTCAAATAATTTTTTTAAAAATAGCATAATTAAATAGGTAGGTCCAAATAATTATAGCCCAATTCGTGTAGGGCCAGTTACCTTCTGTCAAAATAATTATAGCCCAATTCGTGTAGCGCTAGTTTGTATGTTTTTTGGGTTCTTTTTTTTTGGTTGGAAAATTAGCGATAAGCTTTTTTGGATTATTTGGTTGATGATTATCAGCGGCATCTAACGCAAGTGTGGGGCATCGCCTCATTGCGAAATCTCATGATGTGCAAGTACTGAGAGGTCAGTTGGTGACTCAGCGGCATCTATCGCAAGTGTGGGGCATCGCCTCATTGCGAAATCTCATGATGTGCAAGTACTGAGAGCTCAGTTGGTGACAGAGTGGAATTTGGTTGATAATTATCAGCGTGACATCAAAAAATTGAAAAGGTATAGGGCAAATACAACATAGGAGAACCGACGCCAGCTTCAAATATTGTAGGAAGAGAATGAAAAGCTATCAAAGATAGTAGATTTTTATTCTAAAAAATGCAAAAGCAGCTAGAGCCCTTGGAGAACCCAAAGAAACGCAAGCGAGATCACGAGAGGAGTTCAAGAGAGAAGTGTGTGATCTTTGGAGGCTCAAGTGATGAGCCCCAAGAAGCGATCCGTGAAAACCCAAGAGAGGATATCGAGAGGGCCAAACTAAAGTCTCCTCCTGTGGAAAAATGTAGCTTTGATTTCTTTACTTTAGAAGTGAATGGTGTGGTTGATTATTGTTGTTGTTGTTGTTCTTATTTTTTTTAATGTGGATAATTGTAATGTGGTTTTTTCTATTAATTAATCATTATAATATTTTCATTTTATTTTATTTTAGTTCTATTTTGTATAGAATTTTTTTACCTCTTAGATGTTGATCCCTGCAAGGAAAATTCCTGGATCCGCCACTGGGTAGGTCTGACCCAACAATCATTTACCAACAATTTTTTATACATTGTTTCTCATACAATACGAATTAGACATTCAAAATGGTCCAGCATTATTTAATTGGGTTCTTGAAAAGCACTTGTGTGAGTCCCATTAGAAATTTGGCCTAGCCCAAAACTGGGCTATATGTGGCTTGGTTGGAGGGCTATAGGGCCAAATGTGGCCCTCCAAATTTGGCCAAACTTTTGTTTAGCCCACGACTGGAGATGGTTTTTGTATTATTTTAGGGCCAAATTTGGGATATAGCCCATGGCTGGAGATGGCCTAAGCCCTTGCTAGGTTTCTCAATTTTCCAATGTGGGATTCTTTACCTTCACATTCTCACACGCCCCCGTATGTGTGGTGAATTTTCAAGCCTAACATGTAGACAACACATATTGGGTGACGTGGAACACATGTGGCCGTTGGGGTTTCACACGTGGGCTAATCTGGCTCTGATACCATAAAGGAAGTTGAGGTTCCACCCCAAAATCAATTGGCAATGGGGGAGGTAACCCAACTCCTTATAAGCCCTTGCTAGGTTTCTTAACTTTCTAATGTAGGACTCTTTACCTTCACATTCTCAAGAACCTCCTTCCAAGATTGAAATCTGTCCAAGACGTCCTTATTATTGCCTGTTTTCCACATTTACAGTATTTTCCCCACACATCCTCGCGCCACATCCCAGCACCACCATCTGGGTTACCAAATTTTAATTTAATAAATTAGGTCAAATCAAGAGGGAATATAAGGAGGGAATATGACTTGAGAAGTTTGCAAATACTTCATCACCAAGTAAGTATATCTTCCTTTCAACTTTTACTTCGTCGCCAAGTCTATCTTCCTTTCAACTTCTACTTTCCTATGAGGTTTTAGCTTTAGCTTTTATACTAATCCATTGATTGTTTCAGAGCAAAACTTACATCTTATGTACGGGAAAGAAAGAAACCCGCCATCCAGAACCAAAAAAAATAGAAAAGAAACCCGCTACTTCCATGCAGCTGTGCAGCTCAAGATTCTCCTGTGTTATCTCTCTTTAAAGAGGTAGGTCGATCAAACAGAATCATGGCTTTTCTGACCAGGAATGTGTAAACCTTTTTAGGGGATACATGGAGGTGGTGGCTGGTTGGGGTTGGGAGGAAAAGGGGAGAGGTTTTATTTTAATTTTGAAATTGTGCTTTTTTAAAATTATATTAATATTGTTTATTTTCAAAAGAAATGAATTTTTTAATAATTCCCCTCAATAAGTAATGGTAGTTAGAAGAATTTGACAGAAATTAGGCAATGTCTTGAATTGCTTGGAATTGATAACCACAAAGGCAATAGTGACCAAATTGAAAACACAGGACCAAAAATGACTTTTTGCCAATTACGATCGACCTCTGCTTTTGATCCTCTGATAATATAATAATGATGAATATACATACACGTGTATTTCACATTCACAAGTTCAAGTCACCAAGTAATTCCTGAACAAATACAAACTAAGAATATAATGAAAGAATCAGCAGTTGCTATATATATAATGTATGTATTTGTAAGAAAATTTCACATCTGCAAAGCAGAAAGCAAGTTTGGTTTGGATGTACAAAGCAAGCAAGCAAGCAGTCCCTTCCTCACAAACATTATTTGGACATCAACATTTTGCATGCGCATCCTCGACAAAGAATGGAGATAAAACCATCCTATATATATCTTCACCCGACAATCAAGGTTCACTTGCTTCCGTTTACTTCTTATAATTAGATATTAGACGCATCACTCTTGGCGCATTCTATGCTTGTTGAACTTGAGATGTTTTTTTGGGGGTGTGGCACGAGTTGCTTCTACCCAATCATGGTAAGTTAGTGTTAGCAAGTCCCATAGACTCTGCAACTTCTCTTGCGGAAAAATTGTCCGCTTGTGCCTGCATATAAAGTACAGATTTAGAAGAGCTAGCTATGTATACTTCATCAAAGTACGAGGCTATAAACACGTTCGTTACTAATATGATATGTAATTGGTATCATAGCTTCTTATACAAATTGCAATGAAGTAGTATGCATACCTGAAGGCGATGCAGCAAATACATCAAGAAGAGATGTACAAATACCTGCACATGAATTATTCTGGTTATTTTGTGATTTGATTCACTCCACATAGTATGTCTGCATAGTTAAGACTCTTTAAATACATGTTTAACTGTTTTACCAGGTAGAATAGCAAGATAAGTCGAGCTGTTGGATAACGCCAGAGAAATCTTGTGGCCCTGACAGCTCCTGAATCTAATAGTTTTGCTGCCTTCTGCAACTGCGTGAGACAAGGTGAAACTTAAGAGTATGAAAAGGATATCAAGAATAATGATAGATAAGAAAAGATGTACCTGTATGCTTGCCCCAACCATATGACGGTGATGCAAGGGAAGAGGCCTGCAGATTTTATTCTTTTATTAAGCTTCAAAAAACTAAAATAACTATGAAGCCATAACATACATTTATAAACTAACATGTATGCAAGTGCATTGAAGCAAAGATGCAGGGGATAGATGATGGCAAAGTACAAAGAAAGAAAACGCATTACTTAGAGAGTCAACATACTCAAGTGCCTTCATTTCAGCATCTTCTTCCCAGGATGCCGATGCTCGACGGGGAACTCTACTCCTTTCTGCCTCTACCTGTTTAATATAAAGTGAATTTAGATGCAGAAGGGAAAAAAATGCGATTTTTAAAAATAAAAACAAAAGTAACTGGACTCTAGAATCTATATAAAGCCTATCAACCAAGCAGCATAAAACACCTAGGGACAGACCTGTGCTTCCTGGAGACGCTTCAATTCCTTCTCCAAGTGAAACTCAGCTGCAGCTTTTTCACTAGCCATGGTTTCTAATTGTGTTTGCTTGTAGTACTGAATAATAGATGGAATAAGACATCTCTTCATATAGTACCGATATGTAACTGACCATGTAAATAAGTATTTTTTTTAGTGAGATTACCAATAGATCAGTTAGTTCACGGTAGCGCTTCTCTAGCTCCATGTGTTCCTACAAAACGGCAAATATAACCAGTAAATAACATAGTGCTTAAGGATAATTCATACCTAGTAGAACTCATTATATATTTTTGAGAGAGAGAGAGAGAGAGAGAGAGAGAGAGAGAGCAGATATCACCTGACGCGAGTAATGCTCTGCATCCCTCTTCATGGCAGCCATTTCAACTCTCATTTTTTGCATTTCGGCCTGAAATCAAGCATATCAATAAGTGTTTTAAAAACAAGTTGTAGAATGAGGCCAATAAATTCAAAACACAAAGATCAAAAAATTGATCATAACAAAACTGTTAGGCAAAAAACAAAGGACACTTACCTCCAAAGAAGAAAGTTTCCCCTCTGCGTCCCTCTGACCTTGGCGTGCACGTTCCACTTCTTCCTGCCATGCCTGCATCTTAGCATCCATTACTGTAAGTGAGTACAATAATACAGTGGTATTTAATCATCCTCAACTGATTGTGCCCATACTAAAGCACTCCATAATATATCAGAATGAATAATGCACATAAACAATTACAAGTTGTCCTTCTATGCTATTTAGATTGTGGGCAAACAAAACAATTTAAATTACTGGAGTTAGAAGCTTGGCAATGTGCTAAATATCAGACTAAAGATACAAAAAATAATATCACGCCTATAAAAATCCTGGCATGAGAAAGAGAGTTCATACACAGGCCAAAGGAAAATTTGGATTCGTACTTCTAACACATGACATATGTGACAATGAGACAGTACTTATTACCAAGTGGGAAAAATCTCACTTGAAGTTCAAAGTATAAATAAAATGTAGTAATTTTCATGGATCAAGAAAAATAAATTCTCCAACTGAACTATTGAATCGAAAATATGAGAACGGGTTCAGATGTAAAATCAACATTAGGAATACCTGAATCACTTGATTTGCCTCTTCTGGTGACTTCTTTTGCCCGCGCCGAGCACGAGCTTCCATATCTTGCAGCTCTTGGTTTAAATTGGCACATTCAACCTGATGGCATAAAGTACTATTATCCAAGAAGCTCCACCAATGAACAGAAACATCAATACAAAATAATTTAGAATGTTTGTTCTACCTCAAGCAATGCCATCTTCTGCTCAAGCTCCGATGCCTTTGCTGTCCTCTCATCTGCTATTCTCTGAATAGGGAAGCATTAACAACAATCAGTAAATTATGATCAAACTCACAGATTTATATTGCTCTTGGAAAAAAAAACAGAAACACAAGAAAATGCAACATCTTCCTAGACAGAACAATGAATTGTAGGCCGAACTCTTAAATTCATAGATACTTACACAAAGTATAATGCCATTGATAAAAATCTCAATGAAGAACAAAAATTTGTAAAGAATCAAAAGGTAACACATTCATTAGATATAAAAACCTTACATGCAATTGCATTGCTATAGGATTCATGTAAAAGCAAACTAAGAAGGGTAGTAAACATACATGTCTACAGAGACATGGAGAATAAAAAATAATAATCTCATTAAAAAACAATGGGGTAAAAGTATTCTCATTAATACAAAGAGTCACAAACTTGAAAAGGGCTTACTTTACCTGGATCCTAGCAAGGGCTGTGGATGCCTCAAGGGCTCTGTGTTCCAATTCTACTTCCCTTTCCATTGCAGCCTGTTTTACAAGAAAGTGATCATCACAGTGCAAGAAAACAACCAGGGAGACAGAAAATTATTATTATTAGTTTGTTGTAGATACAAACCATTTTGGTAGCATTATGTGCGGCACGCTCTTCTTCTGCTCTCCGTTCTACAGTAGACAACTCCTCTCGTAAAGCCTGAAGAATATTTTCTCACTAATTTCAGAATCTAATAATAAAAGCAGTATATGCAAGTATATGCTAAGGGTCCAAATACAAACAAGGAAGGATCATACAATCTCACCTGCATCATCCTTGTCTCGGATAGTTCCCTATTTCTCATGATAGACTCCATATTCGCCTGATATATAAAATTAATTAATCAATTCAAAATAAACTCTAACTATTATCAAAGCCTCAATCAGTCGAGAATATAAGTCAAGAGAATCCAAAGTTGCACCAGTTTCTATAAAGGGTAGGCCAAATAAGTAGAAGAATAGAATACTGAAAAAGTTGAACATGGTAAGCAAATGAGCCCTTAGTATTACTAAAGCCTCTTCTCACTGTGTACCACTGACAGTGGCAGAGAGAGAGAGAGAGGGTATGAGGAAAGGAATATTATACATCCATAATTAAATGTGGTGGGTGTAATGAAACCTGCAGCGAAGCCAGATTCCCTTCAGACAAAGCAGCCTGTTTTTTCAGTGCATCCATGGAACTGACAAGTGCCTCAATTTCTGAATTTTTTGCAGCCAAGGCCTCAACCATATTTGACTCTATTCTTGTCACATCACTTTTAGATGCTGACAAATCTTTCTGGAGCTGTTTTATGCGAGCTTCATATGACTTATTCAGCTCTCTCTATCAAAATAGCAGTCAACAGGTAAGACCAAAGCAATAAATATATCATATGCCTCTACGGTTTCACTTAATCCTTGAAATATAGCAGGAATTTGTCTCACCTCTGACACAAGAAGTTCCTCTAGCTGTGCATTTTCAGATTTGTATTCTTGAAGTCGGGACGAAAGTCCAGCACAAACCTATCAATGATAACCAAAGGATTAACAAAGCATTCAAACCGAAAACTTCTAACCAGTACAAAACTTCTAAAGGAGGAAAAAGCTTGTTAGAGTATGTGTGAAACAGGTTCATCTGATTTAAGGTGACCTTTTCTGAGAGACTAACTGAAAGAAAAGTGGCATTCCTACTTCAACGACTTATGACTGTAATATCAAACAAACAATGAAGAAAAACAGAAATTAATAGGGCTTACCCTTGCTAACCTTGCCTCTTTAGACTGACCAGTGGAAACAGCAGTTTTAAGCAATCCTTGGGCCTGCACACCAACTAAAAAAACTACTCAATAATAGCCTAAATGGAAAGGTAACAAGATTCACAGCCAAAATAAATGAAGTACGCGAGATATTCACCTCATAGTAAATAACTTACCTCCTCGATTTGATCCTGTTCCTGTACTTTCACAGGAGTGCTACCAGCTTTATGCTCAACTTGCTTACTTTGATCCTGTTCCTGTACTTTCGCGGGAGTACTACCAGCTTTATGCTCAACTTGCTTACTTTGATCCTGTTCCTGTACTTTCACAGGAGTGCTACCAGCTTTATGCTCAACTTGCTTACTTTGCTCAATTACTGGTTCCTCATTACCATCAGCAACTTTAGATTGAGTTTCTCTGTTACTGATGGCAGTGGTAGTTGTAGACTCTGTTCTATTTTGGTCAGTTTCTGGATGTACATCTGCGTCTCTAGATTTGTTATCTTGGCCAGCATCAACTGATTCAACTTGATGGTTTTCATCCACAACCTCAACTTCTTTGGCAGATAATGGAAAAGGATGTTCTTCATGACCATCTGAGGGAATCTCATTGACAAGCTCACCATTTGAAGTTGAAGTAACAGCTTCCTTATCAGTACTAGTGGTTGACGCTTCTACTTCATGAGCATTAATTTGACCAACTGCAATTGCTGTTGTCTCTGTTAAAGGAATGCTTACTGTGGAATCTTTCTCAAGATTCTGTTGCTTCTCATTGATAGGTTGACTTGAAGGATTTACTGATGGTGTCCCATCATTGTCATTTAAATGAGCATCACTGTCTATTTCAGGTGTCGCATCTACTTGTGATGTCAATGTCAATATACTTATCTGTTCGCGTGCAGAATCACTTGTATTAGGAGATTCATTCATGGACTGTCTCTTTTGAGCCTGCAAACAACCAATGTGTGAGACAAAGAAGTTGATAAATATCTATGTATGTGCATTTGTGAAACAGTACTCCGTATTTTCACAGTTAATCTGGCAATACCTTGGTCTTTGACTTTTTCCTCTTGGCTTGAGATCCTTGCCCATTGGAAGCTTCACAAGAGGAAGACAAAAATAAAAATTAGAAACAGACATGGTGGTCTTCAAGTTATCTGACGGACAGTAAGTTGATAAATTGAAGGATGAAAGATGAATATTCTAGGATTCATTATCAAGGCTCTAAAGTGCGTCTTAACAGTACATTTTAGGAAGGAAGAAGAAAAGAAAAAGAGAAGGGACCAACTAGATAAGTGGGTAAAGTCACTTGGTGTTATCCCAACTCAAAAGGACTTAGGCTAGAGATGGGGCAGTTTATGGAATGGAAAGCTAATACGTAACCCATATGTGCAATGGAACTCCAAACCAAAAAGAAACAAAATGTATATAAAAGATTCCAAGACAATTCAAAGATAATACCTGGTGACTGGGTAGCCAACTGATCGTCTAACTCACTGACAACCAGCTTTGCCCTCCGATCGACAACTTCAAACAGATCTGAGGCCAGAGAAAAGTTGACAAACTTTTAAACATCAAGGGCAGAAGAAAAGACACATTATTATAAGGATTTTGACGTGGGCCTTGTACAAGGATGATATAGAGAATAAATGATCGTATTGTACATATGGATGGTGCAGGCACTCTTTTCTTTTTTGATGAAAACTCAAGAAACTAGTCTTGAACTGAACCAGGGACCTAGACTAAGCTGACCAAATTTCTCTAGCTCACTTTCATGTCATTTCACACAATTCATGAAATGTGGCAACTCCCAGTTTTTGGGTTTATCAGACATGCAAATGTGTCCAAACTGAATTCGATATTCAACAATTAACTCCAAAATGCTATTCAAGAAACAAATACCCAATGCCAACGGCATCGCAATTATCAGACATGCAAAAATAAACCTAACCCCATTATTGCTACTTTATGCTTATCAACCCCAAACGTCGTCCCGCATTATATCATCCACTAAACACCTCGAATAATTTCAATCAGCATAAGATCAAACCCTAAACACATTCCAAATCTAAATGAAAACCAAATTAAATATTAAAAAAACCAGCAAATTAAGAGAAAGAACAGAAGATCCAAACCTTCAGCAGCTTTGAGCCAGGAAGACATTGGAACAAACCGAATTCGGATCTAGCAACAACCGTGGCTTAGAGACCGACTAATGGAGCTTCCATGTAAGAAACGAGAAGAGATTATCAAACTTCGTGAAATGCGTCCCCTCAACTCGCAAGGGGTGAAGAAGGCAGTCGTGACTCGTGACTCGTGACGCAGTTAGTTGAGAAGGTTTTGCGCTAACGAGTAAAACTGAAGAAAGAAAAGAGACAGAGAGACGAAGTTGTTCAGGTGAGATCGCGACCACCGTATCCGTATTTGGGCGCTTCTTTTCCACGTGGCTAATGTGTAGGTACTTGGTGGGTTGATAAATGGGCTTGGCCCAAGTTATGAGCCCATCCAACGAAAGCACTACGGGCCTTCAAATCTTGTAGACCTCGAAACTCAGGCCCAAATTTAATCGGCCTCTCCATTACTTCTTTAGCTAGGCACTCATCATTTTTCAATCGGTTCTTAGTGTGTTATCATTTTTCCATTTAAAGATTGGGCTTGAAGGGTCTTTCTCTAAATTGTAAAGTTATGATGGGATTATATGAGCCATTCTACAGTGAGGGCCTTATCGATGAAGTCATATTTCATAAACAGTGGATCAAACTAACCAATTTCATCCAACGATTAAGAGATATAGCCTAATTTAAGGGCCTTAGTAACACCCCCACTATAGAATTCTACGGGATTATGTGCGACATACTCAAAGTATTGTTATCAAATAAAGAGATTAATAAAATTTCGGGTTTAATTGACCATATTTCTAATTTTCTATTAACTGAAAATCAAGTTGCGTGGAGGCTGGATTTTGATAGGGATATTCAGAAACCACAAAATGTGGCACTCAAACTTTGTATAATTATTTTGGGGAATTAACTTTATAAGAATCTCAAGATTTTATCACGTACAATTAATTAATGGTTGAATCAAATTTTGGAAATTGAAAGAGAAAGTGGTTAACAATTAATTTGTGTGTCCAAGTCAAACAGTCCATGTCAAGTAATCATGCATGGTGCATGCCTACAAAGACTGGCATTGGCTCTTCAAATTTTCAGAAATTAAACTCCAAAATTAATATAATAAAATAATTTAAAAAAAGAAGAAAGGTTAATAGCCATGAATATTAATTTAATGATGATCTATACATATACAGTTGCATTCATTTGCAAGATAAGCATGGAAGGATGAGCGAGAGAGAGAGAGAGAGAGAGAGAGAGACTGAGAGAGGAGGCTCTTTAGTGCATGAGAGAGACTTTTCTTCAATCATGCAACCATACATCACAATCTCTCACCTACTCTTTATAATTAGAGTCATTCTCTTCGTTTCTTTTTTACCATTTTTTTTTCTTCTTTTACTCCTCAATATCTATAACGCCGACAATTGTTAAGTAAGTAGCTGGTTTTAGTTTGGAGAAACTTGAAGATGCATTTTCATATTATATATATGCATGTATGTATGTGCATCAATATTGAAGTTGGTGAAAATGTATGGATATTATGTAGGTATGTTTTGTTTGCAGCAATAATATTAATATATTATCGATGACATATCAACAATTCAAATTTTAATAAAGATAGATCGGACATCATGTACAAAGCCATGATATATTGCGCAGAATTATTCATAGAATATATATACATGGAGGGGGATTCAAACTCAGGTGCAGAGTGGGAGCACATCCCGCTCTAACCAACTTATATATTAGGGTTTATTTTATGTTTTAGGATGTTTTGGGGCAATGTAGTATTCTGATATCAAGTAAAAGTCTTTGGTAATGCGATGTTGGGCACCTCTAAATATTATTTTTTTTACTTTTCGAAAAGTCAAATATGCACAAAAGAAAAAGTGGGATGGACCCTTTATCAGCTCCCACCATATTACGTATTAATAAATATAGTTGAAATTAAAAAGGCAAAGAAGGACAATAATAATATGAAGGAATGATTATTGTTGAAGTTTAACGTAATCAATTTGATAAATAAAACAAAACAGTTCAATATATACAATCAACTGTGATTAGCTTGTCTAGTGAAGTGATTGCCCCTTTGTCTTAATTGTAACCTGCCCCCCCATCTTGTGAAGATCTATCAGACCGAGCACGAGCATGCACATCAAGGCTAAAGACAAAGTTGCTGTCAATTTTGATATTTCTTATCGAATTTAAACCCATGATTTGATTAACCACTGTACCTAAGCTAACTCTCTTGCATCTTTCATTAACCTAAAAACCAAAACAACAAAAGGCCGGAGGATTTCAGTCTACGCAAACCAGCATATTATATATAGTTCAATTCTATTAAGAAATTCCTTAAATAAGCTAAAATAATAAACGGTACTAATCTTTAAAGAAATACTTTAAAATTAGACGGATATTATAAAAGTTATAACTATATACTCCAACCCAAATATGAGGGTTAGTATATATATACGTGACCTAAAATTTGTGCTAGCTGGCCATGGCCACCGTATATATATATAAATTACCTTGCAAATGAAAATTTGCGGCGATCTTTAATGTCCAGTTCATTGCATTGGTAGTGACCCTCTAACAACGTAACCAAACTGGACCAGAACCACTAGTATCGCCATCACAAACGACGACTGGACAGACAAACCCTAAACCCTAATAAATCCAAAGCTCCTACTCACCAACCTGGAAAGGCAATACATTAAAAACTCACACGCGAGGCCAAGACAAACATAACGCTCTCTCTTTAGAGCTCCTTTGCCAGGCAATTAGTCGCAGTAGGTACAAAGGGCTCTCTATAGCTTTATAAAAAGAAGAGAGAGATTCACACAACAACACCCTTTTTCTTTTTCTCCTTTTTATTACCAACAAACACATTAAGACAACAAAAAAGGGTAAAAACACATCAAGTGGAGAAGAATCAAAATTATTGCTCCAAAGAGCCTCGGTTTCATCTAAAACCTACAAGTCTAAAGCAGCTAAGACATCCTCACATTAAGCAATCTAGCTAGTACCCAATTCCCATATCATTAGAAAACTAAAAAACTTTATTAACACTCAACGTGTGTCGTATGTGCCGGTCATCTGTAAACAATTTTGCACAATATGTATGTTATATGGTACAAACGAGATTCATATACATAAGTTGAGCAACGTTACATACATATATAACCGGCACATACAAAAATTCCTTGCGTGTGAGGATACTTTTATGTGCAAATCACAAAGCTGATACGGTGGCAAAAGCACAAATTAACCATGCAGTGCTGAAGTTGAAATTAATAATTTTTGGTCCGCTGAAAATCTCATCGACCACGCATGGCATGGTATGATGGAGATTCAAGAACAGCCGATCTTTTCTGCAACTTGAGATCTTTATAAAACCTTTTAATAAACTCCTCAGCTTCCTTGTCCACCTGGCTATCCCCTTCCTCCTTTAGCGGAAACGGAGAGTCCGTTATCCTCAGCTGCCTCACCATGGGGCTCTTCCCAAACCCCGGCAACAACGGGGACGCCTCCGCCACCATCTCATTGTTTAGCATCTCCAGCACCTTCTGAACCGCAGTCATTGTGGTAACGTCGTCGTATTGGTAGGCTCTGGTGGTCTTGGTAAAATAGTGGTGGTGGTGTTTGTTGCGCTTGTTGAAATGAAAAGGGTTGTGAATGGCGGGGCTGTTGCTGCAGCTGAACTCGTATTCTCGGGGTGTTATGAAGGACACGGCGTCGTTGGAGCGGCAGCTGAAGCCGGAGGAGTGGTGGAGCATGAGGTTGTGGGCTATGGCCTTGCCTGCAAGCTTGCCGCGTTTGAGCATTAAATGGAGGTCAACAAGTAGCTTGCTCTTTGATAACCCTTTTCTCACCATGAAGAACACTATGCGTACTAAGTTCCACAATTTTTTGGCCACCATTGGTGGGCTTGGTTCCACTTCCATTTGTAGAATTGAGTGAGAGAGAAAGAGAGAGTTTTTGTCTTTGAGAGAGAGAGAGAGAGAGAGAGAGAGAGAGTTTTGTCTTCGAGAGAAAGAGAGAGAGAGTTTTGTCTTTGAGAGAGAGAGAGAGAGAGAGATGATTAGAAATTTAGAAGGGTTTTTTTTGTTGGTTCGAGCTTGTAAGGGTGAGGGAGGGGAGGTATTTAAAGGGGTTGGAAATTATTATTTAATAATTAAAGATTAAGATGATAATTATATGGTGGAGGAGATGTGTTCCAATCTCTTTTATGGTGCGTGTTGTTGCAGTCTCAAGAGAAGAAAATGAACAAAAGGCAAAATAAAGTGGAGAGTGTTTGTTTCACGCGTGTGGATGAGTGAGGACATAGGCATTCCTAAGTGATAGGAATTTGGTGACAATTTGCAATAATTTGTGTTTTTATTGGTTTTGTTTTAGTGGTTTATATGATTGTTTGGCTTCGACAGATTACTAGAAGGCCCCTAGGGTGGAACCAAATTACTTAAGTATGCTCCCACATTCAATGATTAAAGATATTTTGGGAAGGTCCCAAGTGTCAACCACAAGCCTTTTGCAATAAGGTACTCATATCTTAGCCTTTTTCGAAATGCGAATCCTCCATCTATTTGTGTTTTTGGTGCTTGTATTAAATCAAAATTCGAGTCCCTAATTAGAAATCAAAATTCATATTAGCTAGTATGATATACATATAATTAAGCGCTAAAAACACAATTAGGGCATTTGGATCCATCATGTTCTTAGAAGGATCATACATATTTTGATGTTCTCCTGACATCAAACGAAATAAAACGCAAAAAATTAAAAAATAAATTAGGAAAACTAACCAGTTTTGGGTTACAATATAGGCAAGAGGTAATGATTGCAGGAATTAGTGGAGTAGATTTGAGACTCACCCAAAGCTTAGCTCGATCATTAGTCGATTTTAAATGTGTTTTTATTAGCATCAAATTTCCATTCTTCTTACGTTCAATCAAATTGGTTCCAAGTTAGTTAATGTCGTACGGCACACATGGATTTAAATTAATTGAGCGTCATAATTAAAATGCACAAAAGGTCACTTTGACTCTATAGTTGCCATTTAATTCGAAAATATTTTTGCTCAAAATTATAACTAAATGTATACCATCATCACCTTTCTCAATATTTGACACATGTTCGTTGGCATAAGTATAGTTAACTATTTGCTTTGTATTTATGTAATTATGATTATATTCATGAACACGTGTTAAGTGTTAAAAAAGATGATAATGATACACCTTGAATTAAAATAGTGAGCAAAAATGCTCCGAATAAATTCAGATAACGTGGCTTACTTTCAGCACCAGCTAACCTTCATAGGCAATATGTACTTAGTTATGATAAATAATTAATCGATATAATGATGAGCATTTGAATTTGACATCACTTTCACCGTGAATAATAGACATAATTAGTTGAATATTTTTTGTTTTTGGCCGGGTAAAAATGGTGTTTTTCGAAGCAGCAGGCATTAGACAATGGCGTGGAAAATTTGGGTTGCTACAGTACAGCTCCCATGAGAGAGATCGGGGGTGGACCCAGCCAGCCTGACAAGGTTGACAGGATTGAATAAGAGCACCTACTCTGAACACGTGGCCATCTATATACTCTGAACACGTGGCCATCTATTTCTTTCCCAAATGAATCTTTCACCGTACACGGCATATACCTTTATGTGTACCCAAGAAACAGTATTGATAGTTTCCGTTGAAGAAAGCAAGAAACCCTGCGATATATTCTATTATTATTTTTTCTTCTCCTCGAAGGATATTATTGGGGCAATAAATTGGATCCTTTTTCGCCACCTGAATTGTCTAGCCTATTACAATATACATGTTTTCATGTTTTCATGTTTTCATGATGAAAATGCTAAGAAAACATTGTCTACTTGATGAAGAAAAGCATAATTTGGTACCCATCTTGCTAGCTAGCTAGCTTTTCCTTCTTTTCAACCCCAAACAAATGCTTTTCCTTTCACGATCGACTTCCACCTAACCTGCTTGGAAATTCACTTGTGCCACACAATATTGATTTGCGTGCATGTCCTGGCATATAATTATTATGTTAAATATGATATATAATAGAATGTGTAGCATGTAGGGCGGTGGATTTTGAGTCGTTGTTGTTGATGTGTGCAAGATTCGTTTTGAGAAATGTGCATATAAGGATTGATAGTTTTACTTTTGCATATGTATGGTAAATGATTTTTAACTGTTGATGCATACAATTAAAAGCTGATAATTATTCACGTGCACACGTTGTTATTGTCTTTATCATTTGCTCATATCAAATAGTGATAATTTAATGGAAACTAAAAATGTGGAACATGTTAGGGTTAGTGATTTAGTTATCAACGCTGTCTAATTAGTGGTGCAAATTGGGCATGTTTGTTAGCCGAGTGAAAATGATTGGACGGAGCCGACATTGGATGATCACCAGTAGCTTCTAGAACTATTAAGCCATAATCAATTTTTGTGGTGATGAACGAGCCACCGTTCTTAATCCCACGCACTCAGCTACATACAACTTTGCACTTAACCAAAAAAAGGCTGCATGTAACTTTGGAAAAGGAAAATGAAAAAAAATCTTCTTTTTATGGTCTTCAGTGAAATTACTTTGGGGTTGGGTCACGAACGAAACCTCCTCCAGGGCTTTTCAAGACTTTAAATCCCACCAATGAGCAGTGGCCACGAAGGAATCCTAGTACTCATGGTTGTCTAATTTGAAGGCTTCTTATATTATATATTGATCATGCATGCAATATTTTGTTATTTATTTATTTAATTTATTTTGGGTGGGTGATTGCGGTGGGGGTAAATATATCATATTCATGGGGCATGTTTGAAATTTCTATTTTCCAGCCTAGAATTTAAGTTTAAATTGTAATGGATGTAAGCTTGCATAAGCTGTCAACAAATATCAGGCAAAACTAGCTGCGCCTCTGTTTTTTTTTTTCCCCTTTCTCTGATTAAATTTGTTTTCATATATACAGAAGTGTTCGCATGATAGAGTAATTGAAGACATATGTTTTTTATTTGCTTCTCATTCATTGCACCTTTCCCGGAAAGAAAAACAAAAGGGTTAACAAAAGAGTTTGAAAGCTGACAAACTCATGATTTCAAAATGAAGCGGGTTAAATTTACTTTAAGGATGAATTGTTAATTTTGGATTGAGCTAAACCCTAAACCTACATACTAACTACAGGGAAAAAAAAATTAAGCCCAGGTTAGACAACCGATGGGACCGTCAGACAAAGTATTAATCAATTTGATTTTTTAGCTTAAGATAATTAATTTAATTAAGCACCTTCATTTGGTGGTATCCTTTCTGTTTTTCTAATTAATTTATACTAAAATTAATATAGGAAAGACAACCAAACAAAGCAGTCAACATCAGTAGGGCAGTGCATGTTTTTCCTTTTTCTTTCAATAAATCATTTAGGCAACTCACTTTCTGTCTTTACTTCGAGTGGAAGAAGTGCAGAACAAAGTGTGTGTTTTATTCAAATGAAGCACTTTATGTGGGGACTTTACGAATTAGGATTGGTTTGAAGATTGAAGTGCTTTTAGGTTTCGAGGGCGAGTGGAAGAAGTGCAGAACAAAGTGTGTGTTTTATTCAAATGAAGCACTTTATGTGGGGACTTTACGAATTAGGATTGGTTTGAAGATTGAAGTGCTTTTAGGTTTCGAGGGTCCCTAATTTCGTGCTGTGTGCTACATCATATGCGAGGGATTGATTTGAATTTGTATCATTTTATAAGTGTCTGATACATCGCGTCTACGATATAAATTCAATTGGTGGACAAATACTCTTCCTCGAAGTATATTTTCCCATTGACTGGGTTAACTGAACAATCAAAAACCAACTTGTCTTATGATGTTTACATGCAATTAATTAAAGATAATATATATGATCAAAGTCAAGAACTTACGTATATATATGTATTATTAGGCCAACAATTATATAGAGAGTGATCAACACGGCAGAGACATACACTAATAATTCAGTGATGAGATATTAGCAGTTTCCAAACTTGGGAAGACGAAGAAAGAGACTAATGACGACATTAAAATTGATTAAGAGCTTGACAAGTTGGTCAGAAAGTCGATCATTCTATAATATCTAGCTATAGCTAGAAGATGCATTAATAGTGTAGTAGCTAGGGCATACAAACATAAGCCCTACAAAGTGCCACTCATTTCTTTGCTTCCACATCCATCCACACCACACCTACTTTGATCATTTTCCTTCACAATTAATTAATTAATTAATTACGCATATATATATATATATATATTTGAGTGTCCTACATTATTGGTGTGGTCCGGCAAAAGACAGGTTAAACAGGGATCGATGGATGTAATTTTCATGGAAATGTCCTTGTTTTAAAAGTCGTCTGTGGGCAAACTCTGTTTGCTTAATCATTCATAAAGGTCAGCTGGCTACCTAGCTGGCTTTTAATTAGAACTCATCTAGCTTTTGGGACTTTGCCATCGTCGACCAGTTCCAGTCCTCTATGCATGAGATGCTTGATGTTCAATTGATTTCATGGTGGGCTCTGTTGCATGTATTGACCTTTAACAGCTACCATGTGGCCTAAAGTTTGCTTGGTGCTGTTTTTGCGGCCTCAAACGTCCATCTCGGCATTTATTTACAGACCCAAACCTTATCTTCAAGTACATATGATTAGGAAGCTAGCTAGTGTTGATCCATATCGATCCACCAATCGATCTTATATTTCATGCAACCACTCTACAAATAGATCATTTTTTAGGAAAAGAATATGTATCTTGGAGTACATGTAATGTATTTTCTTAGGAATAGAATGTGATGACTGCATGCATATCATGAATCCCAAGCAAGGTTCATTTATATGTAACTGATGACTTCAAGCGATTGTTTTATCTAACATATGAAGTTTTGATCAATATAGTTATTGATGCCTAAAAATGGATGATTATTTTTGGGTCCAATTTAAAGATGTTGCGTCACCTTCGTTCTTTTGGACTTTTCGGCAGATGAGGACGATCTGCAAGACCTTGGGGCACCGGTGTGGTATCTGCCGAAGGCTCTCCGATGCTTAAGTTAGCTTGATGACGAAGTAGATAGCAATTTGGACAAAGTAAAGGTTAAGTAGTTGAATGTAACAGTTACCTTGTTTTGGGGACTTGTGCCCTAATATAAATATCTTGGGAGGTATGAACTTCTAGTGATATTTCGATGTGGGACATTTAGGGTTTACCTGAGAGGATGCCATGCGTCCTTTGTCCAGCCTGGTTTAGCAAGCGCTTTCTTTAGACGGATCGGCAAGTTGGGTTGTCGAAGGCTCACCCTGTCGATGGTTTGTTTTTGGGTTGAGTTGTCAAAGGCTCACACCTCGTTGTTTTGACTGGGCTCTGTAAGTTCCTTTGTAGGTCCTATGTTCCACGTATCGCGAAATAATTGGCCGGTCAGATATGGCATAAACAATAGCTATAGAAGAAATTAATTAGTAGGCGTTTAGTTAACTCTATCTTTATTTATACAAGGATGTAAGTTGGATGGGAAATTCCGATTTTAGTGAAACCAATGTAGAAATTCAAGACTTTAGCATCTATTTCTAATATGATTATTTAATTTCTCAAAATTTGAAAGTTCAACCACCTAAGATCTCTCACTAATTTCTCTAACTTTTCCTAACTCGATCATCAAATTAAGATGAAGAAAATGTACTTTCCCATGATTTGATATGCATAGATCACATGAATTGGAAATTTGGGTTCCAACCGCAACCGATATATGACTATTTCGGGTTATGCTACAACTAATAATTAAGGTCCAAATTTTGGAATTCCTAGTATTGGAGAATGTCGAAAATCTAAATTTTGTGACTGTACACGTGGCGGGGATGCATTGGTCAGAAACGCCCGTCTTCTATTCCCGTAACCAACTGACGAAAGTGGCAAGTCGTTGTTTACGAAGGCGGCAACCAGAGCACAACAATCACGAAAGCTGCCTCATTTTTCCCACCAATCCCAAAATATCCTCACTACTTCGATTTATTTGCGAAAAGCCCATCTCTGAAAGCGTCTGATCTGCCGGTCAGTAGGGATACTTTGGGGTTCACGCCCCAAAAATAACCGCTAGTTCATATTTTTCTCGATCCTTCCTTCCATGCCCAAAAGAACCAAAACTTTGCGAAAGAAGAAGAAAATTTTCAACCGCAGGCGGAGATTGATCCTGGTTTAGGGTTCATTGGACTTTCCATTACTGATAAGAAGGTAAATTTTTCTCTTTTAAAAAGAAAAATTAAATATTTTCTTGTGAATTTCTTTGCTTTCTTGCTAAATTTCTGAATAATTTATATTTGTATTGAAGCTCTGCTGAAAAGTGATACATAGGAGTATGAGTGTAATCTATTGCTGTTGAAATAGTGGGAAAGAAAGAAATCAAAGTTTTGAATTTGTAAGCACAAATTTTCTTAATACCCTGAAATATTGGATCTTTTGTAAGTTATGAATTTGGACTTTGTTGACTCAGATGATCCAATTTTTCATTCCCTTTTGCTCTATTTTCTCAGGAACCAAACAGAGGGTTTCTGCTGATTTAGTTCTAATATGAAGCCAAAGGAAAATTGTTAGAACAAGTTTGATTTTGAAAAGGGGGGGAAGGATAAAAGTTCTCTGGTTGCAAACCCCTATTGCCGATAGTGGTTTAGCTTTTTTTTTTTCTATTTCTGATGTTGGTAACAAAACCTTATTGCTGATTTTAATTTTGAGTTCTGTCGTTTTTATTTCATATAGTTCCTTTATGTCTCTGCATTATAAACAGTGGAAATCAATTTATGCACATGTCAAGGTCAGTTTTACAATTTTGTTTTTGGTTCCTGAGGTGAGGTCTTTCAATTGATGAAGCAGCTTATCTTTTGAAGCAGTTGTACAGAATTTGATGAATTCCCAGTCTACTTGCCGCAACCAGAGACCCAAAGGGTTGAAGGTAAAGCCAGTCTTTCAGATTGCATTGCTTTTGGCTGTTTGCTTCTGGTTGCTATACCAGATGAAGTACTCACATGACAAGGCCTATAGTGGAAGTGCAGAGAACAAGGTTAGTGAAGAACACGGTTCTGATATTTTGGGGCGCAAAGGGAATGCAGGGTGGTCAAAAGATGGCGGTATATCTGGATCAGAAGATGTAAATCTTGTGGAAGGAAGTACAAAGAAAGAAGATGGAGGTGTTGGAGATGATACGTTAGGTGAAACTGCTGAAGAGAATAATGAAGCAGAATCTAACAAAGTAGATGATCATGCTCATGGAAAGCTTGGGAGGCATGAAGGGAATGAAATTGAAAGGGAAACAGAAATGCAGTACAAAGTATTGAACATTACAGATGATAATTCTGATGTTGAAGACAAAGGAAATGATGACCCAGTGGGGCTCAACAAGAACTCTTTGCAAGAAGAAAATTCCCAAGAGAGACATGGAGATACACAGGAAATTATCTCGGATCACGACGGTGAGAAAGATGTGAAGAATATTAGTCATGATGAAGTTGGAGAGGAAAAGGAGCAAAATTCACAAGTTAATCATGATAAGCAAGAAAATGAAAAGGACCGAGAGAAAGAGCCACAGAGATTGAAGGAGTTTAGTACTAACAAGGACATTTCAGTACAACATAGTCAAGGGAAGAGTGACACTCTTCAGGGCCCAGATTCAGTGGTAGATGGAGTCCATGGATTTAATGATGAGAATGGTGTTCCTGTAGATGGCAATGATCTCATAGAATCCGTAGTGACTGGATCAAGTGATGATCATGCAATGGTTCTACATCAGGAAATGAATTCAAGTTCAAACAATCAAAGTGAAACGAAAGAAAACACTGTAAATGAAGAAGTTGCAGCTAAAGAAGGAGCAAATGGCTCTGATTTTGAAGCCAAAAGCAAAAGCTCAGTAGAAGACTCAAAAATCGACATTAAACCAAAGGTGGAAACAAGTTCTGGAATTGGTGTTCATTCAAACACCTCAAGGATCGATAGCGTTTCAGAGACTACACAGGGAAGCAGTTCAGTTTCAGATTCTTAATAGTAAAACAAAGGGTCATTAACATTACAAGTTTTTTTCCACACGCCGAAGAAGTAAAAAGAAAAAAAAAAAGAAAGTGACTTGAGGCAGTAACATTCCTTGCTGAATGACATTGTACAATCTAATTCCGAATTGTTTTTGCAAGTTGTTGACCTACAAAATGAGAATGGGCCGTAGTTTTGTACAATCTGGTCCCATGAATTATTGAACTTACTTTTGAAATTGTCCTGTAAGTCTTGGTTTTTTTTTTTGAAAGGTTTCTTACAAGGTCTCAATGGGAAACAGGGGGCTCCTTGTTACAAGGTTCCAACTTACAAGAGATATCTCATTGTCATTGTAGGAGCTGGCAACCACTAGCAATGGGTTTTGTGTGTCATGGTGTAAACTATTATAGTACTACTGCAGGACTGATATATACAAATTGAAAATGATGTTTTGGTCCCCTTCCATGATCTTCAACTTCTACCACATGTTAGATGTTAGGACATCCTTGCAAAAGGAGAAAGGAAAAAACAAAAACATTCATTGTTAGCTTTCTTTCTTGTGTGTTGTGGCTTGGAGACTTCAGAGTTCTTGCAAACCAGAATGGCGAATGAGAAACAATTGAAATGGGAAGGCAAGGCTAGCGCAGAGCTAAATGGCCCAGAAGCAGAACAAGTGTGGCCTCTTTTGGAGGACTTCTTTGGCCTGCACAAGTGGTTCCCAACTCTAACAACTTGCCTTGGTGTTGAAGGCATATCAGGGCAACCCGGTTGTGTGCGCTACTGCGCTGGGTTCAAGACTCCAGTTGACCATAAAAGAGAGCAAGACCAAGACCAAGAGAAGGTGAATTGGACCAAGCAGAAGCTGCTTTCTATAGACCCAGCACAACTGATATTTAGCTATTCTATTATAGATGGGAATGTTGGGTTCAACTCATACATTTCAACTGTGCAAGTGGTTCCAAAGGAAGGTGGCTGCAGCATTGTGTGGAAGTATGAAGTTGAACCAGTGGAGGGGTGGAAAATGGAGGATCTGGACATGTTTATTGGCACAGGCTTGCAAGTCATGGCTAGCAGAATGGAAGCCTCTCTCCAACTCCAAGTTGGGCCACTGGAACCATAGAGTGATAACTTGTCTTGGTGTCCTTTGTTGGTTTGACTTTATTTCTCTTGGGTCAGCATTAATATTGTTGCAGAAAAGGTGTTATGTGTGTTTTGCTGTGTCTGTTTTCTTCTTCTTCTTTTTTATTTATTTATTTAAGTTTTCGTATGTAGTGCAAAATTTAAAGATATATGTATGTATGTTGATCCATCAACTATGTAAAATCGTGCAATAAAATTTATTTCCTTTTGATATCTTTGGATAGGAAATAGAATAGAAGAAAACATGTGGGTGTGGCTTGTGTTGTTTATAAATTATAATTTCCTATTATGTCTGAATCAAAATTTTCTTTTTAAATTTTCACAATTTCTAAGCCATTATATTCAATCGAAGTGGGAAAACAGAGAATTGGAAGACTTACCGAAGACAAAGGTTAATGAAGAAGTGGGTTTGTATTAATATGGGATAAGAGTGGAAGAAAGTGTGTTAGCTCCCATCAGTCCCAGTGCTTCTCAATAGTGTTGGTAATATCAAGTTTATTGCAGCTTCTATGTGACTTACCAAATTGCCGGTTGTAATTTGGAGGAAGTAAACCAAATGTCTGTATGAAAACAGAAGGAAAAAACACTCCAGCAGTATTTTTCAGCGAATATGTGACAGTTAGGCTTTTTAGCAGCGGTTTTCGTCCTCTAACAGTGGTTTCTGTACTTTTTTTGACGGTTTATATGCCCCTTGCGTTTTAAACATCTTTAGTCGCGGTAAAAGTCGTCGCTAAGCGTTTCTAAAGACTCCTTTCGCAGCGTTCTTGATAACCGCCGCAAAAAGTTAGAAAATAATTCTAGTCTTCGCCTGTACGGGAAACTGGGAGGCGCAAATGAAAAGATAAAACTAAAAACCTCCTCTTCAATATCTTTTACGTATATAAACATATCACATGATAACATTACTAAACGTTTATTAATTGGATACATGAAAATGCCTGTATGAGATTGAAAAGAAATTCAGTGCAAGTTTCTCATGCCATCCACAGTACAGATGACTCCTTTTTCATCTACCGACATGCCAGCAACTTCTTGCCTGTTATCATTGCTCAATCCTTCTTTGAGATGGTCTCTCTTAGAAATTCCACACCAACAAAAGTCAGAGCTGAAACTGGATTATCCTCAATCCTGGGAACGCTACCTCTGAGCAACCTCCTGTGCATCGTCAGCCATCCTTATGCTACTTTGCATATAACAGCCATTGTACCTAAAGTTCACAACAAACATTAGATGGAAACTGTAAAATCGTTCTTCTATCACATCTAACTTTCATCCCATGAGTAAATGTGAGGCCTATATCAAATATATTAGGTCGAAAGGAAAGCTCAGTTTGAAATAACAATCAACGCAAACTTTACCAAAGTACATATCTTCTGACTATAGCCCATCAATCATGTACCCAAGATTTAAAATATTCTGTTATCTGGCTATGAGATTCAACCAAAATGGTGGGAAAAGGTGCATTGGTAAAACAACTATAGCATTGTAAAATCCCCTCAATAATCACAAAGGATAAATGGTGTTTGTGTTTGTGGACCAAGGAGGTCAGCATTCACATACACAACAGCTGAAAAAATACGAATGCCAAGCCTTGCTTGGATAACATTAAGTACTCTAACAACACAACATGATGCATGCAATAATTTTTTTTTTCCTACACTAACAACTAAAAGTTATATGAAAGTAATAATAATAAAAATTAAAAACCACATATGGAACTGATACCTCAAGGTTGATCCCTGTACTTGCAATCTTGTTTTGATCACATCGAAGGCACTGGTAAGATATTCGCACTAATGCCTGACCAATTCAAAGCAAGTATAAATTACCCTACAGAAAATGCTGAATGCAATTATACAAGACTTAAACCAGCACCAAGTAGGACAAAGTTTAAGCAAGGTACATACCACTAGACAATCCTCCTAGTATGAGTCCCTCAACAGAACTATCAATATGGAAATTGGGATTGCCTGTGGATTTTTACTTCCCAAACTGCTGCAAAGTTTCAAGCCTTCATAATAACCTGCATACCAGAAATAAGAACCAGAGCTAATTAAGTTAAAAGCAACGGAATAATGACAACTAAATCATTTAGAGGCCAAAATCCTAACTGCCTATCATTTGCCAATCATAAAAGAAAGTATGTCTGAACTACTGTACTCATGGTGAAAACTCAAACTAAGTTAACTTCTCTTTTCTTATAAGAAACAGAGCTCTTATTAATGAAAATAGTGTTACAAGGACGATAAACAAGATGTCCATCTAAATACTGTTAGCATCCTCAATCTCAAACGCAATTTACAATAAGATCAAACTAAGAATTCAGTGGTCAAGACTCTTAATTGCCTGATCTCCATCATAATGAAAATAGGGAGAAGAGGGAAGGAGGAGGAAGGAACACCATACATTTGGATACCAGGCTTCATAGGTAAGCTATGCCTTTAGCAAGAAAATAAAATGCCATATCCAATGCCTGAAATTTTACTTTCTTACATACAATTTATATGAAGTTAAATGCCATCCATATGATTGCATACCAAAAAAATTGAGCTTTATTACCCATTAGTCATGAATGTTACATCTACAACATCTTTACTCTATACCTGACTTGCACAAAGAATAACTTGCTCTAAATACGTGTCTTTACAGTGCCAACCAGATGCATCATTCCTTCCCCACATGCCCCAGCAGTAGCTCCCCACGGAAACTCCTTCCAAACTACATTGACAGATTAAAAAGTCAATTACCAACTTCCCACTTCCACAGATATTTGAAAATTCTACTAATCAAAACATTACAACCGAATAACCAAACAAATTTTTTATACACATTGTCATATACAATTATACATTCACTAAATATCAAAATCCTTGAGTTCTTCTATTTCCCACCAATATTTTTTCATAATTAAACAGAATATTTCCTTTGATTTCTAACGCTGGCTGAGTTAGTTTCTTTATTACTGAAAATTTGAAAAATAAAAATTGGGTTTTAAGTTGCTTCAAATTCCAAACATGTGTAGTTAAACCCATCTTTAAAAGTCAATAGTTGCATTGAGCTAGAAGATTGAAGTTTTAATCTTTTATAAGTGTAACTGCTTGATGTCTTCCAATGATCCTAATATGTCAGAATCAAAATTTTCTTTTTACTTTTTAAAAATTCTCGCTGTTTCTAGGTGATAAGATTCCTATAATCGAAATAATTAAAGTGGGAAAATAGAGAATTGGAAGGCTTACCAAAGGAAAAAGATAATGAAAGCTTTGATTTTTGATATGCCATGTAATTTCGGAAAAGCAGTCGCAGAGGGATTTTGATTTCGCCGTCGAATCGTGGATGACACTCCTCTCCCTTTCTGTCTCTCCCGACCAAGTCGTCGATTGGGCCTGTGCCTCAGGAGACGAGTTTGGGGTGTGGCTCTTCGGACTTTGGCTCTGTTGGGCTTTGTTGCTAATCCTTTTCATTGAATGAAATTTCAGATGACAAAAAATAAAAATAAAAATGAATAATTACGATGTGTTTGGTGATGTTGTTATTTCTTGAGGACCCAAAGTAGAAAAACAAGGCAACTGGGTTTACTTAAGTGGAAAATAGTATTGACTTGCATAACAATGATCTCAATGGTATATTAATAGTGTGTGTAAGAAACTCCCTTATTCTGATAATTTAAACTATTGCTTATATATATATATATATATATATTTAAAGTTTAGCAAAGCAAACCATAAAGTAAAATTTTGAAACATTTTTAAATGAACAACCAAAATTGGGCTATGGGGAGAGCATCAATCATGCCAAACTCATCAAATCGGCGGATCAGAATTATAGTAAACGGGTTGGTTTGATTTTGACCATAAAAAAAAACCTATTGGTTCAGTTGCTATTTTGGGCCATGTTTGTTTAAATCATGTTCAAGGAAGAAATGAAATTTTTTTTTTTTACTAAGTTGAAGGTAGAAGATGGATTATTCATGAAGAAAATTTATCCTGTTTAATCCCCACAAAATGGTAGGATAACAAAACCTTATAACTAATCCCTTCTAATCCCCCCAACATGGAAAGTTATTCACCCCTACCTTCATATCCTTCTTTAATATACCTTAGATTTAGTGACTTTTTCAATCCAATCCAATACACACCAAACATGGCCTTAATGTATTGTAAACTGGCCTAAATTGAACCAAACTAGTCATTTATATTTTATTTTACACTTGTAGTCCTTTTATTAGATAATTACTAATTCAAGAATCGAAAATGAAAAGGACCAAGAAAAAGAGCCACATAGAGTCGAGGAGTTCGTACTAACTAACAAGGACATTTCAGTAGAACATAGTAGGAAGACTGACACTCTTCATGTCCAGATTAAGTGGTAGATTGAGTCCATGGTTTTGATTATGAGAATGGTGTTTCTGTAGATGGCAATGATCTCAGTCGGGTCGACCACAATTTCCCAAGTATAGAGTCCATAGTGACTGGATCAAGCGGTGATCATGCAATGGTTGTACATCAGGAAATGAGTTCAAGTTCAAACAATCAAACTAAAACGAACGAAAACACTGTAAATGAAGAAGTTGCATCCAAAGAAGGAACAAATGGTGCCGATTTTGAAGCTAAAAGCAAAATCTCAATAGAAGAGTAAAAAATGGCCTTTAAACCTATGGTGGAAACAAGTTCTGGAATTGGTGTTTACACAGGCACCTCAAGGATCGATAGCATTTCAGAAACTACACAGGGAGGGAGTTCAGTTGCAGATTCATAATAATAATAATAAAGGGTCATTTTTTTAATTAACTTAACAAGTATTTTCACACGCAGAAGAAGTAGTAGCATTTCTTTTGGTCAATGAAATTGTACAATCTAATTACGAATTGTTTTGCAAGTTGTTGACATGTTCTTTGCCTACAACATGAGAACGGGCGATAGTTTTGTTGTCGACTCTCTTGCAGGAAAAAAGGATATATGTACATTAAAACTCACTTTTCAAATTGTCACAAAAATCTTGGTACAAATCTATATGCAGATACACAGCTTTATATAAACCCTCCTTGCAAAGGAAAAACACACATTGTTAGCTTTCTTTCTTGTGAGCAATTTGTTTTGTGGTCTTGGAGACTTGGAGTTCTTGCTAACCAGAAAGGCAAATGAAAAACAATTGAAATGTGAAGGCAAGGGGCAAGGCTAGCGAGGAGCTAATAAGCTAACTGTCACTCTTTTTTTAAGGCATTCAAAGTTTAGAGAAATTAGTAAGTGGAGCCACAAGAACACTAAGCAGATGCGCTTCCTAGAGAAGCAGTCGGGCCCTGTTACAACTTTCTTACAAAGATTAATAGAAGGAAACACGAGTGCACAAAAGAAAATACCTCAAAAACAATCATGGCCTTTCTATATCCTTTCCTTCCATGCTCTTCCCAGGAAAATGTAAACTCTTCCTGCAAGTTACAAGCATTCATCAAATGCCAGTGCCAGCTAAAAATATTCAAATCGCATTAGCATGGCTCTTCATTGGTCAAGTTCATTTGCATAAGGAATTACAAATTTTTCAGCAAACTTCGGTTCAGTATACTTGCAGATTGTGCTCAAGTTAGGTATTTTCCCCAGTAGATTTCTCTTTTCCAGGTTCTCTATAACTTGTAGTCGTGGTTTCAGCCTGTGCTCAACGCTACAAATAAGCAATTCTGGGTGACTAACTAGAAATGAGATATCAACCTTGCCAGAGCTAAGCAGCATCTCTATTGCCTCCTTAATCTTCTTCTCAGATGTAGCAAACACCTGGGGAGCCCTCCTAAACACCACCAAGATATCATTTTCCGAAAACCCCAAACTCTGGAAGAGCTTCACCTTCAGTTCCCAGGTCTCCAAAGTCATCGAACTCATGATCCGAATAGCATATAGGAACATCCTGGACTTCCTATCAAAACCCATTTCATCAACCCTTTTAACAAAACCCATAATGCTCTCCTGCTTATGCAGAAAGAATCTCGGAAAAAGAAAAATGTATTTGACAATCTGCGACGAACTTATACCCAAACTCTTTAAAACCTCAATATTGGGCATCAATGTCTTCTCCAAGTCATATTTGAGATACCAAGCAGATAACTTTAAAACCTTAAGCACACCTGCATTAGAACCCAGAATGTTCTTCAACACTAAAATAGCAGGGCCAAGCCCTTTATCGGCACTCCGCCTTAAAATCCAGGGGTCTGAGGATATAAGATCGGCGATGTCGGAGTCTGAAAAGCCAGAGTCTTGCAAAATCTTGATTTTGGGTTTGATGGCCGTGTCAAGATTGGCACGAAGAATCCTCGGGACCCTTTTAACCACTTCCTCCAGATGGGTTTTGGAGAAACCGCTTTCCTTGAGAAATGAAAGCACCGAATCCGATTCTGCAGTACTTTGAAGAAAAGCAATGGCTGATGAGGCTTTTAAAGCGGCTTCTGGGGAAAACTGGTGCTGGTTGATTAGATATTCAGCTACTGCTACTTTGGGCTTTGATTTTGAGTTTGACCTTTTGGGATTGGAGGAAGAGTAAAACAAGAGAGAGATTGAGTGGTAAAGAGGAGGCCTGTGAAGCTGGACCGAGCTTCTCAGAGAGAATGAGAGTGACATTAGCCTTTTCTTCATCTGGGTTATCATATTTTTCAGGGTTTTGGTTGGTGAGCTTTTAGCAGTGATTTCTAAATGAAAATTGAATACAGAGAAATTGGTTTTGAAATATGAACTTGCCTGTGATTATGAATTGGGGGACTCAATTGCAGAATGAACAACTTCCAGGAAAGAACTGGTCATCCAAGCTCTGTGCTCTGTACCCTCAGGTCTGCTTGCTTTGGGATGTAACATTTTAAAGTTATGTAAGTTGACGCCCAAATCCCGCTCGTTAGGGTTTTTCAACCCTAAGGCCCCCTCTTTTTGGGGGTTGCAAACAATCCAAATTCATTTAAACACCAATAATGGGAAGCAGACAAACTGAGAAAACAAAAGCCAAAAAGGCTAGGAACAAATAAAGCACCACAAACACAGGGAAGATTAGACTAGAACTAATACAGTCTAGTATAATAATCTTCCCCATCACAATTGCTTAATGGGAAAGGAGGGGAAGCAGACAAACTGAGAAAACAAAAGCCAAAAAGGCTAGGAACAAATAAAGCACCACAAACACAGGGAAGATTAGACTATACAGTCTAGTATAATAATCTTCCCCATCACAATTGCTTAATGGGAAAGGAGGTTCGGAGATGGGAAATCAATCCCATATTTGGCAAGTCAAAACTTGAAAAATAGTTGATTGGCACATGGGAAAATAGGGGGGGAATGTAACCCTCCACCTCCCTCGGGTTTTATTTTCCCTTCTCATGGGAAACTTTGGAAAAATAGGCATTAAATACACATTTGTCATGACCATTTTGTCCTCATTAATAATTTAGAATTACAATATAGCATTAAATGCATTTGTCTATATTTGATTTCATAATGGATATAATTGGAAAATTAAACAAACTTTGTTTTTCAGTCCTATACAAACCAAACATGAGAAAAGAAATAAAGTGGTATTTCCTGATTACCTGCATTATCAAACATGATAAAGGAATCTTCCATTTCCCGTCATTTGAGAAAAGATATGAAAAATTATTTCCCATCAAATATTTTATGTGAACCAAACGGGACCTAAGGATTTATTGTCTTATCAAGTAATGGAAACCATTTGAAAACAAAAACAAAAAAACAAAAAACCATGAACTCAAGTTTATTGCAAAATGTGGGAGTTCTAGCTCTTGTAGCTCAAACATTAGAACTAGTGGTTTGTCAAAAATCTGAACACATTGCATTGGTGGTACTACATGTGTGAGTTTCAATTTATTTTATATATTTAAGAAAAATTCAATTGAATTTATTTCAATAACTAAAAATACGAAATCCTGCTAACGGCTCTAGCCTAGTGGAAAAAGGCATTGAGTTGCATACCAAAGATCTCAAGTTCGAATTCCCACGACATCATAGTTGTGTGTGAGAAATCCCCCTTCGCTGTAGTTTAGACTATTGCTTGTACTAAAAAAAACAAAATGCTTTCAACTACTTGACAAAATTGTTTTTTTTTCCTATATGTGTAATTTCCATTTGATAGGTTTGAATAGAAGAAAACGTGTGATTAGGCTTCCATGGTGGCTTGTGTTGTTTATAATTCCCTAATATGTCATAATCAAAATTTATTTTTATATCTTTTTAAATTCTCATTATTTATGTGCCATAATATCCAATTGAATTGGGAAAACAGAGAATTGGAAGTCTTACCAAAGATAAGGTTAATGAATTGGTGGGTTTGTGGTAAAATGGGACAAGAGTTGAAGAAAGTTTGTGAGCTCCCATGAATTCTATTCCTTCTCAATGATTGAAGTGTTACATTAGTGCAATAAGAATAAGTTTATTGCAGCTTCTATGTGACTTACCAAATTGCCGGTGGTATTAAGGGAAGTGAAACAAACATCTATAAGAAAACAGAAAGAAAAAGCACAGCGAATATGTTACAGTTATGCTTTTTAGTTCCGGTTTTTAACCTTTAGCTGCGGTTCATGTACTTTTTTTTACGTTAAATTTCTTTAGCCGCGCAGAAAACCGTCGCTAACTGCAGCTATAGAACCCTTTTACAGCGGATAGATTTAACCGTTGCTAAAGGTCGGAAAATAATTCAAATCTTCCTTCTATTTGGAACTCTTGGATTTTGGGAGGCGCAAAAGATAAAATAGCTCCTTTCAACACATCTAACTTTCAGCTGATGATTATGCTGTAACATAAAATATTTATCCCTCTTTGCATGATTGACTGATGAAGAAAGTGGAGACTCGTATTAATGGATGTAATAGTGCAAATTAATTATGAATTTTTACAATTTGTGTCAGAGCCAAGCAAATTACAATTATAAACATTATAGTTCAAGTTAATCATACAATAAGTTTTTTCTCAACATCATGATACAACTACCCGTACAAGTATGGCCGCTATTAGCACTTGTGTCACTTCATGCCCTCTGTATGTGAATTCCTACAAAACTGAGGTCAGTTTCTACAATATGCAGACTGGATGTGGTGCCCGAACAAACAGCAGAGTCTCACGAACTAGGCTATTCATACACCTTCGAAAGCACAAGCAGACCACTACTCGGGGCCAAATCTTCTCAGCCGCTGAAATTCAAAAACAAGTAACTTCTCATTTGTAGATCTACACGTCGTCATCTTCATCTGGTACATGTAACTTCTCAATAGCAGCCTGTTGGAACATAAAGAGATGATAAGGGATGAGCAGAACAAAATTCTTTTGCTCCCTAGGAGCAAGATACAACTGAAAGAATAAGAAGTATGCCCAAATTACCTTAATAGTAGCAACATCGGTTGCTGACGGCTTCAAATCCAAGGCAAAACCAAAATGAAGCATTGCTTTCTCATGCATGTTACGTCGCTTATAGATCTTACCCATCAACGCATACACGCTGCTTTCACGAGGAGAATATTCTTTAACCTCCTCTAAAACTGCTAAAGCTTCATCAAATCTTTCTAAACTCATTAGTATGTTAGCCTTCTGATACATGGGAAGCGGATTCTCCTTATCTGCTATAATAGCCTTGTCCATTATCACTAACGCTTCTTCACTTCTCTGTCATATGATTTAAACACATTCCAGATAATTGTAATTAAAAAAATAGATTATTATAAATAAACCCAATCCTAGACATGTATTTATAAAAAAACCCACACACTATTTAAACATAGAAACACACCCAAAATCAACCCCAAAATCAACAATTGTATATTTTTTGAGTGTGTTTATAAATGGGTTTTGAGTGTGTGCAATGATGGGTAATGATGGGTTTTGGGTGTGTTTATAAAGTGTTTTGGGTGTAGGGTTTTTTTATAATTTCAACCCCCATTTTGGGTGTTTTAGTGAAACTCCCTTAAAAAAAGGTTAGTAAATAAACAAACTTCCTGAAGTGATAATGTTAAAATGGATATAGGGAATGTGACCTTTAAAGCATGCAATGCTTGGCCAAGGTAAGTCATAATAATAGAAGAACGAGGATTTATTTGGAAAGCCGTCCGGAAGTGATGCTCGGCGAACTCAAACTTCTCTTGGCGATGATATACCATTCCAAGCCCATACCAGGAGTTATAATGCCTTGCATCAACACGAAGTGCACTCTGATAGCTCTTTATTCCATTCTCAAAATCCTCTAGAGCTACATATCTGCAGATAAGGATAATTGAAGACAATATCAGCCATCAAAATCAGAAGCCACATCCAGGAGAATTTCAATTTTACGGATTAAGTGATTAAAGGAAGAAAACGGCTGTCTCATACTCGTGACCACAAAGGGTATGTGCATATGTGAATCTTGAATTAAGTTGAACAGCTCGCTGGAAATTCTTGAGAGCAGTTTCATGGTCTTTCTGCAAGCTATAACAATTTCCCATCGCAACCCTGCAATCCCATTCAATAAGAAAGATGCAAGGAACAATGATCGACATGTTGAAACGACAACTGAGATTAGAATGCCATGTATTAAACTGTGATATAGCTACCAAGATTGAGGAGCTAAGCGGTCGGTTGCTATCAGTTCCTGAGCCAGGTAACTTAACTTCATGTCTTCCTTCACATGCTGCAAAGAGTAAGAATAATTTTCAGGGAAGCAATTAAACATTAAGCACCTAGAAAACTAACAAACACATGGATAAAGATTAAGAAACCTATTTCTAGAGAAAAGAAAATCAGGGTTTGCAGAACAAAAACAAGGCCATCTGTAGGTACAGAGAAAAAACTACAGAGTGTAACAATGAATGAAGCACAAGCTTCATTCAGAATGACTGGCCGGAGTAAACCGACCATGTAATATATACGATAAATCGTCTTAAACACGACCTCTTTCTAACCATAGTGCGAATATTGTTTTATTTGAGGATAGATAATACATCTCAGCAGAATTAGCAGGAGTAACCCCACAGGCCATGTTATGTATAATGATAGTATCCTCTGGAGATAAGAAAAAACTATTTTCAATTTTGAGATACATCATTATGGGGACTCACATAGAGAACTGTGGAATATATATCCATTCCTTCTAAACTGTAAGGTGATGCTTGACGGGCAAGACTGAAGGCCCGATCAGCTTCTGCATATTCTAGCAGTTCACAATAAGCTTTTCCAACCTGCAGTTGAGGAATGCCAAAATAGTCAATTATATGCAGGTATTAAAATGTCTAGGGAAAAACCGTTAAGGGAGCAGTTGCAAGGAATGTGAGTTGGTCTGCATGGAAATATTGAGAACAAAGGTTTAGGTATCTACAAATCATGGAAGAATAAATGAAGCGGAACAAACAAGAGAATGAATTAAGTCCAGATAAATTCATCACCGTTCTTATTTCTGGAGGGTTTTTATTTGTAAATTAGCATAAAAGACCAAACTATCAAAGATGAGATGAACATGCGATGAGAAATTAATTAGGTTCTGAACTGATGACAATGAGATATCCAAAAAATAGAAAGATTTGTAAGAATGAAGTGAAAACAACCTTTCTTTATCAGGTCTAATGTGAACATATTATTTTCTAGTAGTGTTCCAAACTAGCTAACTAACTTATATAGACCTCCACCAAACGAATGTATCTCCTGCAATATCCCTAAATTGTGGAAGACTAGCAACAGAAATGGTTGAATGGAATCTGTACTCAGTATAAGTATTATCCAGTGCTGCATACAAGGTCATCAGAGCAGGAGACGATATAGAAATCAAGCCAAGAAGTTTTAGACAACTACCTGGGAAAGTACCCAGCCTGTGTTGTAATGCTTGTATGGAAGTTTGAGATAGACATCCAGTGCATCCTGTGCAACACAGTCAATATTAGATAATTAAATACAACCTCAATTGAGGAAAAGAATATCACACTCAATAACCAAGTAGTACCTGACATCTGTACAAGCAGGAAAGTCTATAGCCCTCCCCAAGGGTTCTTAAAAGGCTCAATATTTCTGAAGCACCAGTGA